CTACAGGATTAGCAAGTGGTTTTTCATGAATGTGTTGAAGAATTGGCAGTTTATGTGTCAGGCAGCATAAGGATCCAGACAGATTAAACACAGGAGCTGATGAAGTGACTTAGTGGACCTTACAGTCTTGTGTGCATTAGGTTCAAAACAATGAATGGATGAATGAATGGATGGCAGGTGATTGACATGGGCAGGTCAGCAGTGGTCATTGATGACTACTGTAGAGGCCCGTCACTTCTCAAGTTTATGGTCTGTCCACAGCTGTGAAAGGGACACCGGCTGGGTCAGTCTCAGTGTCCAGGATGTGGTAGAGGTGATTAGAGCGCTCAGCAGCAGCAGCAGGCCACAGGTCAGACGGGCAGCCTGGGGGGACACTGTTGGGGGTCTCTGCTTCACTTTTGATTGTTCTAAAGTCATGGTTGTGCGGGAAAGTGGATTTTACAAGGACTTTTAACCGCTTTTATTATTTGTGTGTTTTTATGGTTTTATGCATGAATTGTATCCCACAGTTCCTTGGACACTTCCCCTAATTGCCCACACCTGCTTTTAATCAAGAAGACTATAAATTGGGGGCGGGCACTACGGAAAGACAGAGAGAGACAGAGAGAGAAGCGGAGAGACAGCACGAGAGGAGGACGAGACCGGACCGGGCCGGGCCAAAGGAGGAGCACCGCCAGCCAGAGACCACGGGGGACTGAGGCCAGTGAGGAGAGCAGTAGTGATGGGTTGATGAAGCTTCATGAAGTGTTGAACCTTTTCATCCATTGGTTCGAGAAAAGGTTCATTTCTTGATGCTTCATATGCTCACAAACCTCCTGTTGGTCAAAATCTGTATTGACAATTGAACTGTTTGTCAGGCTCTTGGTGCATTGGAATTAATACTGGTAACAGAAATAAAAATGTAATTTGATTGTGTATGACCCATTAATTCATCTGTTTCATTATGATCAATATCAGTAGTGAAAATGAATATATTTTAAATGACAATAAAATTATAATGTACTGGTAACTGGTACAGTTGTCTGCTCTAATACACACACACACACACACACACACACACACACATACATATATGTAGATATATATTTATATACATATTTAATGATGAATGATTATAGCTTTTCAAGTCAAAATCAATGTTATAAATCCAATGGGACAAAAAACATGTTGAAAGTGTAAGTGCTTTTCAAAGGACGTGACGCAAATGGGGATATCATTTGGGATTGTGACCCCAAAACATTTCTGACAAAATTCTTTCTCGTGTATTTACATAGACGCACTCCAGGTGAGATTCGAACCCCGGTCTCCCAGGTCTCAGCCCTGCTTCCCTATCAATTGAGCCAACCAGCTGATACTACACTACTCTCCATCACTGACTACATTAATCACCAAGACAAACACACAGTTTGAGCGGGTCTTCTGCAGTACTTCATGAATCGCTCCATATCCTGTGCTCCCGAGGCTTCAAACGTCATTAGTGACGTCACTCATCTAAAACAACTCAGGCTTCGGCCCGCGCTCCGATAAAAACTTCAGGGATTTCTCGGCTCACGCTCCGAAGCGCCGACGCGGCACGACCCATCACTAGAGAGCAGCACCGCCGGTGATGGGCGTGCATTGAAAAGCCCACGGGTCGCACGTGGGTGCCCGGTGGCGACCCGTGGCTGGCGAGACTGCGGCCCGGTCCCAGGACAGAATGGCTTGGAGGAGGACACGGGGGACCAGCAGACTATGGGTTTTTAATCGCTTTTTAACTGATCTTTTTGTATACATTTTATCCCTTTGCGCTTTTATTGATCACACCCCCCCAGGTTTGTCCTCTGCCATAGTGACCGTTGCAGAATGGGTCAAATGCAACCTGCCAGGATCCATCTCCAGGTGTTGATGCTCAGGTCAGGAGATTGGAACTGGACAAGTTTTCCTTTTGTTGCGTATTGTGTCCTGGAGCACCCAGAGGAAACCCACCCAGGAAAATCATGCAAACCACATGGAAAGGTCTGAGCTACCTACTCAGCCAGTGTCAACAATGCTGGCAGTGGCAATCTGTTTTAGGACTATAACCAAAACAAACCTTAAATCATTTGATGAATTTATCCTTCAAGTGTTGAAAGTGTCGAGTTAATTTTCCAATTTATGAAGTCTATAAAAGAATGAGTCACTATTCATTACCATTTATTTACTTTGTCTCTAAGAGGTTTGAGTGATTCATGTTCATGGAGATGTGCGCAAATAAAGATTACAGCTTTCAACATGAATCTCTGACTTTCATTAGACAGTAGGTTAAACATAAGTATCAGACCAAAGTTCAACCCTTTTTTGTAAATCAGTAAATTTAGGTTGTTTTTAACATAGTGCCCTCCCAAAAAATTGAATGTGTCGAAGGATTTACAAGAGCTTGAAAGTTTGAGACAGATTTAAACATTATTCATTTAAACTTGACATTGAGGAACCTCTGCATTGAAGTGAAACTGGTTCGACCCCACATCAGTCCAAGCAGCTTTCCTCCAGCGCCTCTGGAGATGTTCTGGATGGATTAAAGCAGTGACAGCAGTGGAGGCTTTTGGGAAAAAATGTATTGGCCAGAACCAACTGCAAGTGAATGTACGCACTGAAAAAAATCTTTGTAAGATTAGCTTACCAAAAATAACATTATGCTATTTGCTTGAATGTAGTTTGTCATGTAAGATTATTTTACTAGTTTTAAGATAATACTTCATGATCCTTAGGGAAGTCTGAGCCTGAGTTTTTAATGCTGGTTTCAAGTATTTCTTATATCCAGACAACTTTTCTTGTTTGGATATAGCATAATATACTTATTTTGGGAAAACATTTCTACATTTTTTAAGAAATAAGTAAATAAGACTAGAAATGTATGTTTAACACTAGAATCAAGTCATTTGAGGCTAGTATTATATTTCAAGAGATTATTTTTTTGTGTAAGTAAGTAATGTTTATTTATATACCGCCTTTCACAGACAAGGGTCACAAAGCGGTTTACAATTGTTATTTTTTTTTGGGCACTTGTCCTCTCACTCCAGACAGAGATGGGAGCGGGGTTGCCGAACAGGAGGCACATTCCAGACCTATTGTGCATGTTTTTAGTGGTAGGGGAAACCAGAGTACCCAGAGGAAACCTACCCAGACACGGGGAGAACATGCAAACTCCACTCAGAAAGGCCCTGGTCCGACCAGGATTCGAACCCAGGACCTTCTTGCCGAGAGGCGAGAGTGCTATCCACTCAGCCACCGTGCCATCCAGTGTACTCCAAGGTCTGTCCAACTATGTGGACATTACATGCTTAAGATTCTGACCCTCGTTCTATTTCAACCATTTTTTCAGAGGAGACGAATTTGCTGCACACATCCAGAGCGTTTGTACGAGAAAGTCAAGTGCAGCAATCTTTTGTCATTGTGCGCCATGTTTTATCTGTCCCATTCTCCGGCTCGCAGATGCAACAGATACGAGGCTCTTATCTCTGCAGTGGAATTGTCAGACATTCTAGCTGTCACTTTGTCATGGACTGCGCTGCCACTGCAAAAATACTAAAGGTTTTCACTTTCCAGTCTGTTTTCAAAGGCACGGTTTGAACAGGCAATTTTCTATGGGTAGAGATGGATTTGTCGTCTGGAGTAAATAGATAAACATTTATTCAGGTTTCCTTAAAGCACCTCTTTGGTCTTCTATTATAAAACATTTAAAAAGCTGAAGTACAGCGCCCGGGAACCAATCTCCAGATGTTGATGCTCTCCTTGGTCAAGACTACCGGAGCTGGAGGATTTAACCTAGTGAACATGTTTTTAGTGGTAGGGGAAACCGGAATACACGGGGGAAACCGGAGTACACGGAGGAAATCTACGCAAGGATGGGGAGAACATGCAACCTCCACTCAGAAAGACCCTGATCCAAACCCAGGACCTTCTTGCTGAGAGGCTGTGCTATACACTCAGTCACCGTGCCGCCTTGCATTACACCAGATAAGAATAAAGTTCTTATCTGGTGAGTAATAAACACAAGATCTTCATTAATATGTACATGTTTGTGAAACATTAAACAAAATACGAAGTTTTCGGGCACTCCTATCAGATATTATAATAGATCCATGAGTCCTTAGGGGTTTTAAATACTTCATTTTACTTCCGGAAACCTTTGCCCAGTCCACCCACTGTGCAGCCCTATGAATGGGACATAAATGGAACGTACAATCCATTTAACAAGTTCCATCACTAGTTTTCACAGGTTTGCATTTTTGGACTCCGTCACATCTTTAGATCAGTTTTTGCAGCCAGAAAATTGGTCCTCTCCATTTCAATCATATCTCAGCCTAGAGTAAAAAAGTGGCTCACAAGGTTCTCACAAGTCTTACAATAGCGCAAGGAGATGAGAGTGAAGTGTTGTGAATAAATATGACCACAATATTCTTTTTTCAAGTCCGTTTCTGTTAGGACAAACATGTATTGAAGTAGTTTTCCTGGATAAAACCCCTGCATTTTCAGTGTTGGACTTGCCTTCTGCATGAGAACTCATCTTCCATCTACACGGATACTGTGGAACGTTCAAGAAAAGCCAAAACATTTCAAAAGACAGAAATCCACGAACACACAACGTTTGCGATACAGAAAAATGACTTTAATTTTTAGGTTAATGTCTTCACAAATCACATTCTTTAATAAAAGTTCGTAAGTACCTGTGATCTCGCACCCCTCACCTTTCTGCTGTTAGTCAACTCAAGGAGCGTTTTACCTTCAAACTGTGCAAGAATATATCCCTTTTTAATACTCAAATAAAAAGTTATTCATATTCTAAATTGAGAAAAAAAGGCCGTCAATGAAATGTAAGGATCTCGTACGTCAACATTAGTAACAGTAGAAATTGTACCTAGAATATCTTCGGAGTCTACTGGAAACCTAACAGCGACGCGTTTAAGGTTCACAGGTAAACGAGTGCAAAACAGAAGAGAAGGAGCAGTGGCCTTAGTGGATTTTGGCACAATAATACAAGATCAGAGAGGGCTCCGCGCCGCAGCCTCCTGAATGATACAAAAATACAATTAAATAACAATGAAAAGTCAATAAGATGGAAATCCTTTACGTGGTTTACCTGCAATGCTTCGTAATGACACACAGCGAGTACTATGTGGAAAACATGCTGGTAAGACACGACCGCCAGAAAATACATACTCTTATATAGATTTATCTGATGCTTCTGCAAACGGCTTTAGTCTGTCGTTAAATAGAATCTAAGATAGGTGGTAGTTACACAGTGGTTTGTCTAGCCCTGGAGTGCATTGTGAGGAGTAAAGCCCTCGTCATTGTCAGCCGCTCTGCTCCTCCGCCGTGACCGCTGCGTGAGACGCCTGTGAATCAGCCTCTTCTCCAAAGGCACTTCCGAAAGGCTCGCGACTGTCGCTCTGCTACTTTAGAAGCGCGGTGCATAGAGCGGGCGTCAGGAGTCCTTTGAGGGCAGTTTCAGCTACGTACGACTGTCGCAACGTCCTTCTGCGAGTCGTGTCACTTTCTCTGGCGCCCAACGCTCAGCTGAAGCCGTCTCATCGCCACACACACACATGCATACACACAGACGTACACACACATACACACGCACGCAGTGGAACAGTCAGTGGTGGAGCAGGTGCATATTTGTAGAACCAGATGAGGATAAATGTCTCTAGGAGGAGGGGGCTGGAGGCGGGACTGTGCTGGACATAAGTGTTGAGGCTCATTGGTCACTGGCAGAAGACGACTCTGGTCAGACAGACCCAGTGCTACCATTGGACTCCAGAGCACAGACACAAGGCTCTGATTATACATTTAAACTCAAGACTGACTGTAGTGTACCAAAGTGAGCAATGTCAATGAGTCTATTAGTGTTGGTGCTGAGGTGAAAGCGCAGTGCTGAAGTGGCTGCAAAAGTCCACTAGGGGCAGCCAAGAGGAGTCCACAGGACTTTACTTTGTTCTTGATCAACTATGGTCATGATCTGAGTGCAAATGTACGGGAGAGCGCCGCCTTGGACAATACCTGCAGGAGGAAGAAGGACAAGTGTGAGACAAAGTCAGAGAAGGTCAGATCAAACCAAAGTACATGTAGATAAAAACCTGTGAAGAATTTGCTGTAGTCCTGCTCAATCTTCTGCGCACTTTCAAACTGCTCCTTGGAATGTTTTTGAGAAACTTTGTCCCGCAGGTAGATGGGATCCTTCTGCTCCCTGTGGAAAGACCCAGAATGTAACGCTGATCAGCTACCACCACTAAACGCACCGCGCCAAGAGAAAAATGTATGGTTCTGTTCTTAATAGTGCTGTCAAACAATAAAATATTCAAGTGCAATTAATGTCCTGATTAATGATTTGGTTTCAAAATGCATTGGATGAAGTTTACGTTCATTAAATTCTCTATTTGGATTGTCTAAAATAAGCTACTCAATCTCTTATTTATTTTTCCAGTGAATAGAACAGGGGTGCCTAAGATTTACTTTTACTCAAACCCTAAGTCGATCACGGCCTAATGGTTGATGTGGAACCACAAATGCAGTATGTTCTTGTGTTGTGGCCATAGACTGTATATATTAACGAACGTAGTCACGCCAATCTCCGCCGTTCAAACAAATGGGCCAAAAAATGTGCTCTACTGGAGCTATCCAAAATGGCCGCGAGTGGTCCCGCCCAAAAAATTGTGAAAAAACGCATCTGCGCATGCGTCAGCCGGCGCAGCTCCATTCATTTGAACGAGAGACTTCAAAAATTCACAGCAAGTAAACTAGAGTGGACCAAAAAAATTCACCTCCTTCAGCATTGACACACATGTGGAACGGAGCTTTGGGCCAAGAGCCAACTTTTGGTCCATCCTGTTAAGACGTTTTCGAGAGGTCTGCCAATGCTATGTGTTAGCATTGGCTAATTCTTCTTCCGGGTCCACCCCCAGCGGCCCGGGGTGGTATTGCAAGCATGTCAGCGCACGTCATTTTGAGCACTTTTGAGCCAGGACCCGCCCCCACTGGTTTTGGCTCATAGTATAAATGTCACTAATAACTTCTTGGTCTCATATATCCGAAACACTCACACCTCTAATGTCTTTAACTAACAAGCTACATGTCCCGCCCAGAGGTGACATCTCCTGTTGATTTGCACTTTATCCACAAAAGATGCTACATCCGCCGCTGCCTCTGGAGCCAAATTGGAGCACTCCACATAAATGCACACTTCACCAAAAGCAGTGATTTTATTTTATTCATGGTCAGCCACTAATTGTGTACATGTGTTTTATGTTGAGTAAATACAGCAATACCAAGTGCGCCATCAGCCGACTTAGCATCACGCACACGCCTTCACCTGAACTCACCTTCACCTGAGTTCTGTGTTTTGTTTTTTTTTATACAAATGTGTGTATTTATTTGTTGCCATTTTGCATGTTGTACAACACTTTGGAAACTGCGTGTTTATGAAATGTGCTATATAAATAAAGTGGATTGGATTGGATTGAACGACAACAGAGAGCACACAGCCCACTCAGAACAGCCCCAGATTTTCTGCGGAGTGTTTCGAATGCAACCCGGAGCAATCAAAGTGTGGTGGGCGGAGTATGTGTTTTATGCATGTATGTGACCAGCTGTGTGGGATTAGGACGAGTGATGGAGTGTGACGACAGGACGTCTCAGAGCTGCACCTCCGTGAGGCAGCAGATCTTGGCGCCACTCCTCCGCCAGGGCTTACGGAGCTCTCCAGAATAACCGGCCGCTTACTTGATCTGCTTGGCGTTCTTGTAGCGCACGAACACCACGATGGGATAGATGTGGACGCTGTGCAGCCTCTCGATGGCGTGAGGAGCGATGTCGAGCAGGCAGTGGCAGCCCTGTGTCCAAAAGCAGACACAGAATCCATGAGAGAGTTGCTATAATTGGTTAGTTTTTATTAGATGGAAGATGTGTTTGTCTTTAATCTCAGTGTGTGCGCCTGATAACGTCTTATCGCGAGGAAGATGAAATAAGACTGTTTGAATTACCTTCTCCGTGATCTCCTTTATAGATGCCACGGTGGTCACGTCAAAATGGCCGCTCCTGCGCTTGTAGTCGATGAAGAGGCTGTCCTTCACGCCGCGCTCGATGGCCTGTTGGGAGGCCTTCATGACCTCTGCACACGACCAGGAACACATTGGAATCAGTTATCCAGTCCAAATGCACGTCTGCTGCATCATTACAGTTTTACTACAGTTTTAAAAAAGACATCTTGCTAAAATCTAGTTTCTGGGGACAGTTTTCGCCAATGCCAAAACAGAACTTGCTTCCTAGTTTGCTACCAAAGATTGAATTTATTTTCCATTTGCAGTGAAAAACCACATTGGAATATGTTTCAAAAATGTCCAGTGTGCACAATAGACAACAAAACACTAAAGACGATATAGAAAACAATAGAAAGGACGTATAAGGTTTAAAAACAAGCATATACTAAAATCAAAGTGCTGCGTTCTGTCTGCTATACAGGCCAAAGGGTTTAAGTAACTTGCAAAAAGGTATTTTAATCCTTATTCTAGCAGTCTAGCAATTACGGTTGATACACAGCCAAAGTGCTGTGTGACTGTTCCACAGACCAAATATTACCACTTCCAATCAGGACACAGTGGTCTCTTTACTGTAAATCTGCAGTGGGTCAGACCTCACTTAATTACATCATGAAACACGGTGAAGTTGTATCCAGACTCACCCAGGACACATCTGAAGAACTTCCCCGGAGACTCTTTGACCAGCATGTCTTTAACCGGGTCAGTGAGCGGCCCCAGGACCAGCACGGGTCTGGGGGAGGTGCACTCGATCTTCTGCACCCGCTGGTACGCCAGGCTCACGCAGTCTGGCAACGTGCAAACGAATCGTTAGACAGAGAAACATGAGCAGGACTAAAAGAGAGAAATTGGCCGTCGTACCGTCGAAGAAGGGGATGGAGTCTGTGCTGATGGCGTCCAGGGCCACCGCGTCTTTGCCGTCTTTGGAGCTGCTGCGTTTGTGTTTCTGCTTCCTCCTGAAGAAAGACCTGCGAGCGGCCGCCGACAGGGTTTTCCCGGAGTCCTCCTTCATGTCCGTGACGCTGTGGCGCCGGTAAAACTCCTGGTCCATCCTTGTACACACAGAACGCTTGCATTTACTACGGAACGTGGCATGTGGAGGCCGAGGTTCAAGGGGAGGTCGGGGAAACTAGTCCTCACCACAGAAATACACACCAGTGCAGTGTGCGGTCACTGACAACTATTAAAACATGGCTTTCTCGAGTTAATGACCTGAAGGAAAAGCCTACACTCAACATGTACTAAAAGAAACATGAGGTATTTCAAATTAGAGCAATTCGAAATTTCCCCACTGTGGGACGAATAAAGGAATTCTTATCTTATCTTCATTAAAAAGGGATTATCTTTTTTAAACACATCTACATCTGTTAAATTTGTCTACGGATAATTGGTCAATGTGTAGAAAACTGAATGTATCGCTCATTTGGGTCGCCAGTTTTTTAGGTAAGAATACCATAACATTAACATACCATTTTGAAAGCAAAGCCAGTTTTTATCCAACTATTTAGTATTTTCTTAACCCCTTTTGGCGCCAAAGTTTTGATTGGAAAGAGACAAAGACAGAGCCCTGAACCTGTATGTGGGATAGAGAACTACTAAAATCAATACCATAAGTATTACATTAAAAGATGTTGCTGTTCATTGTCAAGAGAAGTAGTAGAGAAGAAGTTTGATGTAGCGAGCTCTTTTTGCCGTCATGATCCAACTCACATTGGTGGCAAAAAGTGCTGGATAACAGTGAATATCTAAGAACGGAACAAGTTTGGCCCATTTCTTACTTGTGACGGTTAAATAATATTCTTCCCCCCCTCTCCTTCTTGACGAATCACAGCAGACGTGACCAGAGCAGAGAAATAACAATCTTAAGAACGTCAAAACGTCTGAAATGCTTTTTGGAAAATGTATAGAGCCCCATTGTTCCGGGCTCAGCTAAGGTTTCAGCGAGCGGCTGTTGCGCGGTGGCCTCAGCACCGGCAACAGCAGTGTGCGATTGGTCATGCGTGTGCTGCCGGACATATGGACGGACTCACATGTATTTGCTGGGGATCTGGCCCCTCTGGATCTTCTGTGCGTTCTCGTCCAGCTGCCAGGCCATCCACGTGCCGAAGCTGCCCTTGGGCAACGACTCGTCCACAAACAGGATGTCGTCCTTCTTGAAGCTCAGGTCTCCCTCAGCCTCCCCCAGCCGCTCGTAAAGTGCTCTGGTGGGACATGGGGCGGGTAGAAGGTGAGGGATGGAGGAGACAGGCCTGATACACATTCACTTATTGGGAAGAGCTGATGGCGGTGAGGATAGGAGCGGAGTGGGGTCACAAAAGCCACAGAGTCCATCAGTTACGGGCCGGCCCACTGCTGGATTTACTGCAGAGGACATCATGAGCCGATGTGACAAGTGACTGCGGCAGCTGCGCCCACAAGCCTCGCTGCGCGCCCCACAATAAAACAGGACCGTTTTGGAGGGTCATCTGCGTTCACTAGACAAATGATTGGATCCACTATGACTAATGAAATTGAAGCTGGGGTACCCACCTTTTTTTTCTTTCATAAACAAACACACTTAATTTGTCCCACAGAAATAGCAAAAGTAAAACGTTGTACACTAGAAACCATGTTATTTATTTGAATAATTTGTAAGGAAGAGCCTTGTGAGTCACTATTTGAAACTACATTAAAATCAGCTCTCAGCTCAATGTTCCAGCTCCTGGTCCAGAAAGGGCCGCTGTGGCTGCAGGTTTTCGATCAGACCCAGCAGAGCAGAGCAGACTCCACTCATTTCCTCAAGTGAGTTCAGTCTTAACCTGAAGATTTGAGAAAATGGGTGGAGCGGCTCTTTCTGGACCAGTTTGGACACCTCCGGCTTGGATCCAACTTGTGCAGTGTCACCAGATTACTAAAGGCACAGACAAACCTACCGTATATAAAAGCCGTCTCCAGGCAGCTCCTTCACGGCGTTGAAGTCGTCCGGCCGGTGCTGGACCTTGAGCGTGACTGTCTCTGCTGGCTTCAACATCTCCACATACACCTCCTCCGCCGTCTTGTTCTTCATATTCACCGCGTTGTACTGGAAACGCAAACAGATACAAAAGTAAACGCCTCGCGGTGGTTCAATAAGCAAAGTCGAGCAGAGTGAATTGAAAAGCGGCAGGAGATTGGTGGCTGCGTACGCTGGGATTGGGGCCCGCTCGTAAAAAACAACGACGTTTCCTCTGTCTTATTTAATTGGCGAGTATTGATTTGTTGGCGCGTACAGGGAGCAAAACAAACAGCGACTCAGGGACCAGAGGCCGGATGACAAAGCTACATGACAATTGGAATGGCGCGCCTTTAGAAATAAGTGGGGCGGTGGCGGGAGTGGAGTGTTATGAGTTTGCACTGTGCTTGGAATGGATCAGCGACGGGCAGACAGGAGATCGATGGGAAAATAAACATTATCTCATGACTTTCAGCACGAGCTGAAAGCAACAGATTGTGAACACTACAGTCAGCGGGTTTTCAAAACAAATAAATTCCCGCATTTCTCGAGTCCACTTTGTTACAGATGGTGGTGGTGAGGTTGTGTAGAACATTTGTGGTGAGAGTGCATTGATGGAAGATCAATTTAGCTTTGCCCGTAATGATTGTATGGCACTATAGAAAATATGCTAGAAATGGGGAAAGAAGGCATTTTGAGAGGACTGTTTGACAATTTAACAAAACTTCAGATTCAGATTCATTTATTTGCCATTTGCAGAAAAACCACATAGGAAAAACTGTGCAAGACTACCCCAGTGTGCACCAGACGACACACACCAGAGCTCTTGCCACTATTAAGTAAACTTGTACATCATGGTCAGACAGTTAACATGAAGCACATTCTAAGGAGAGGCACTTAAACCTGTTGGCAGAATTGCATCAATTCAAATTTCAAGTAAGATCTGACCACAGACTTATGCCGTTTTTCCACAGTGTCGGTTCAGTTCATTTCGGTACGGTACGGCACACCTATTTTGCTTTTCCACTAGTGGATGGAATGGGAGATTTGAGTACTTTTCCGTACTGCCTCAGCCGTGGTTCCATCCCCATAGTACCCGTGCCATGACGTCACGTCGGCCCACTGCCTTACACTGATTGGTCAACGAGTGTCGTCACTGGAAGCGGCATCTGACCCTTTGGGAAAAACAACTCAACCGCCATCTTTAAAACCGGCTGCTCTGCTCGGCTCTGCTTCGGCTACATTACGTCCTCCTCACTCCAGAGAAATGGAATTGCACAGAAAGCCCCAAAAGTCCTGGTCCTGGTCGGTGGAAGAGGTCCACATGTTCCTCTCTTCAGGCCAAAAGAAAGAATTCAAAGGCAACTCGAGGCTCAACACAGTTTTCAGGAGATCACCCAGCTCTGGATTTGTGACTAGTCTGTGGTAATCCTGAAATAACTGGTTAGCTACGAACCCCCTAAAGCTCTCACTGAAATGTATTTACTGTGTAAATGCTCGATTGTCTGTTGTACACAGTGAGCTAGCTACATTTAGCTTCATTTAGCTATCGATAGCAGCTAAGCTAACGTCCTCCCTGTGCTACTGTGCTTTATCTTGTATTATCTGCTGTATCCACGTGTTGTCATTCTGTTTTGTGCTTGTATTTAAGTTGTTGTGTGTATATTTGTATGATAATCCCTTTCCATAAGTGTGGAGATTACCAACGAGCAATGAGTGACCGGAGTATTCTCATCTGGACCTGGCCTGGACCTGGCCTGGACCTGGTCTGGACCTGGTCTGGACCTGGTCTTAGACATACGTACTTTTGACTTTGTAAACTGTTGGTTTTGCACTTTACTTTTGTTTTCAATAAATCTGTGATTGTCTCCTAAGACTGTGTTTCATTCATTTATTATTATTGTAGCTGAGGTTTGGGTATCGATTTTTTGTCTGGTCTCGGAGTCTGCTGCAGTCCGGACCCGAGTCCGGACTAGCCTAGCTTAGCCTAGCTTAGCCACTAACTCGCTACCCTATGGCCGCCGCTGTCTCTCCCTCGGTCCTTTACTGCTCGAGTTGCCATATGACGAGTTTAAACCCCGGATCCTCCTCTGATGGCAGTGATAGATGTGTTAAGTGTAGTATTGTAGTAGCTTTGGAATCCAGGGTTAGTGAGTGAGCAGAGTCAAGAGCTAGCGCTAGCATTAGCTTTAGCCTAGCAGTATCCTCGGACATGCAGCCCTCCTCCTCTGCTACACAGGCTGCTGTTGCTACAGGTATGTCCCATTCAGATTGTACAGAGCAGTCAGCACCATTGACTTCACAGTGTCTGAGTCATTCTTTTAAGACATAAGCATTTTCAAAAACTACTCGTGCTGTGCTGAACTTTCTATTAAACACTTGCTCTGGTATTATAATAAATCCATGCACCACACCCGTACTAGTTACGCGCCACACGTAAATGACGTGATCTGACAACGCTGAGGACATACTGGGGGTACTATTTTTGATGGAAAAGCACGCGAACTGGGCCATGGCGCGCCGTGTAGAGTCAAAACGTACCGTACTCTGACCGTGGAAAAACGGCATTAGTATGGCCTTATTAAGGAGTGTCCCAGGCATGAGGGAGATGCAATACAATCTCCACCACCACATTCAGAATTAGGAGTGTGACAATATATCGATATCGTGATGCATCGTTATACTTTCTCACGCGATCGATTTGCTTTTGCCAAGCATCAATAAAAAAAAATTAAAATATTGGAATCAATACTTAATATATGGCTAATTTACGCATCTCCATTCCATTTATCATGAAATATATATATGTATTTTTTCACTTTTTTATTTATGCCCATATGTGCTGTATTTGAATCCAGATTTGAGAACTAGTTAATAACTTATACTTATAACTATGTTGTGTTTATTCAGATTGCTTTACTAAAATATTTCTAAAACAGTATATTTCTGACCAATATATCGATAATCGTCATTGTGATAAAATCGTTATTGTGAGCTTTGTATCGCGTATCGTATCGTGGGGTACCCTGAGGTTCCCACCACCACATTCAGAATCTATGTGTTATGTTGTGTAGAACAGGAAAATTGAATGCGTTTGTGAGTGTCCAGACCTCCAGGATGAGGTCTCCAGACAGCAGTCCATCTGGTCCCCTCGCTGGACTGTCCTCCTCCAGGCTGTGGATGTAAACTCCGTGAAGGTTCCCTCCGCACAGTGTGACCCCCACCTCCACCCCAGCCCTGCGCACAGTGACCAGGCGTGCATCCGCTGCCTTCTTGCTGCCCTCAGAGGCCATCCTACACAAACACAAACACACACAAGGGGTATTGGCACCATGTCAAGTTATTGTGTGTGCCTGGAAAAATACTTTGGATACAGTAGGGCATATAATATCAGTCTGTAAGTGTTGTATACTCTGATGCTTTCCAGGATGAGGTCTAATGACATTGAATAAAATATTTGTATAACATTTCAACAGCAAGAAGCAATTTCTCGCTTAGCAATAGAGACTTCGAAATTAATTTCTTAATTTTGGAAACTATCCGCAAATTGTGTGTCTTTATTTTATACGTGTCTTTATTTAAAGGACAAATACATGTAGCTTCAGAAGTCCCAAACACATACATTTGGTCCAGAGGCTGAGGAGTACCTGAGCAGAGTGTGGGGGCTGGTGCTGGGGCTGGTCTGCTTGGAGGACGGGGTGAGGGTGCCCTCGTCCTGCTCGCTCAGAGTGTCGATGGTGGAGTGATTGTCTGGAGTGGCAGGTCCGCTGCCCTGTGGGGTTGACTGAGTGCTCACCGGCTCGAGACGAGAACTGAAAAACAACACAGATCTTTCAGAAGATGAACCTATAAAAACAAACATGATCACACAAACTTTAGCTTCTTGAATATAATATACAATCTCCTGCTCGAATCACTCTAATGCTAATCCTGAGACGCAAGTTATAAACTGTTACAATTTTTTAGTTACCCCTTGGGGATAAAGTGTTTTGAATTGAATTTTCCCTTAAATGACATTGGTTGAACATATTGCAAATTGAGGCCCTTTTACAAAGTCCATTTTACATGTACATTTTCCCTATTATAGTGTCCACCTTCAGGTTTCACTTCAACGGCAAAAACATGAATTCCTTTCCAGCATTTCCTTACATATACAGATCTTTCATTAAAACCATTCTTTCCAGTAATTACAATCTCCTCCTGGGTGCGTCCTGCTGTTACAAAGCTTCTTCACTCAGCTGTGAAATGTGCTGCACTCATCGCAAAAGGCTGTTCCTGCACCTGGACACACACCCTCTGCTACAGCACTTATGGAGCAGCCTATGAGGACCTCTGCTGTGTACCTGGACCTGGAGTGGTTTCCCAGCTGGTACATGTGTGGGTTGTACTGGGCCATGATGGTGATGGTGTCGCACTGTTGGCCGATGATCAGACGTGCCTGCTGCTCCGTGGCATTGCGCAGGTTGATGCCGTTAAACTGGAAGAGAAAAGCATAAGGAAAATATGAGGCCGCTATTCTGTTCAAACAGTCAATTTGGTTTGGTGTGTGTGACTGATTTGATATTATTACTGGCCAGTTTCATACAATAAAGTCCCTGTGTTGTTAAGACTTATCCTGAACCGCTATTACAACTGTGACACTATGTCCAAAGATGACACATTATACAGATGGGAACATGTAGCACAAAACTTAAACAATCAGAATTATCAATCATAATCCAATTAAAGTGCTTCTCCATAATGTTTAACTTCTGCTTTTTCTATAGGTAGATCGTTCCGTAGATCAACTTTAACTGATACACCTCCTGTTTACTTTTTGTCATGTCAATTGTATTCGGTCGTAATGACAGAATACAATTGACATGACTAGTTTGTATGTACCAGGCATGCTAACCCACAGTAGTCTTTGAGATCATATTCACAAGTTCCCAGTGTGATCCAGCCAACTTCCGCTCAGTCAATAAGAGGCATGTTAAACCTCTTGTGAAGCTCAGAACAAATAGAATTCAACAGTTGACTATATCTGTTTATACTGGGATTTGTTTTTGATTGTGTTACAATTTTTTAACAATTATAAGGCTAGTGAGATGGTCATTTGTCATTCAACCAACTTGGTTAACTAAAGTGGCCCTTGTGTTAAAGTAATAGTCTGTAACTCTAAATTAATTACAAATTGTAATAATTGTAGTAAATTGACCTCCTGGCCTTAAATGTTGATAATTCTAATATTACAGTTAAGTCCCGCCTTCCCTTCTCTTAGCTATAGCTCAGAATCCACGATGCCGTCGAGGTTAACCAATCGAGTCATGCCAAGGGCTGTCAATCATCGGCGCTGATGCTCGTAGCTGCGCGCATGCTCAGTTGTTTGTTTTCGCGGAGCCTCCGAATCAAGCCTCCATTAGGCTCTGGACCTATATCCATAATCATTTATATACTGGACCTATATCCATAATCAGATCCTCTGCAGATGTGTCCTATAATGTGCAATTAATGATAATGGCTTCTTCCGGGTTTGCAGCAATCATTTTTTTGTGCATTAAAACATTTTTTTCATGAAAATGTCAACAAATAATTCTGAAAACCTCTGTGCATGTGTATTAATAATGTATATGTATAATGTGTTCTCCCATTAACATTTAAATGTTAATGGGAGTGCTGCCCGTTCAGTGATTTAAAAAAAATCTGAAATGGATCGCTTTAATCATTTGAATGTAAAAAATGTTGATTCAAAATCCACAAAGTGTATTGTGTGGGTCAGAGTTCTGCCCAAGGACACAGATGTATCAAACTGTCTTCAAACTGCTCACCGAGTGAGTCAGTGTGAGTCACAGTAAGTGAAGAAGTGCAGTCCATACCTCCAGCAGCTGGTCCCCGTACTCCAGTCCGGCCTGGTGGGCGATGCTCCCACCTGTGACCTTGGACACAAAGATGCCTCCGTTCTCTCCGCTCACTATGGAGATGCCCAGAGGTTCTGCGCCTTTGTGAACAATGACGTTACGTGGCTCCTCCAAGTACGGCCTGTCGGAAACAATAATATTAGTATGTAATGATCACAAAATACCAATACATCTTCTCTTTGAGTCTTTAGCGAGGCTGTTCTGTGATTACATGTCCCCAGGTTACGTTGCTCAACTCATTTACAGCTCTGGAGAGTTTAGACAGACATCAAAACCATTTACAAGCCAACATCTGTGCGTGCGGGGGACATGGAGAGTGTTTAAGTTGGATTGTCCTCCCCAGGCCTGTAAATCTGCCCAGAGTCAAAGCACTTGTACTTTAAAGTGGTGTGACAGTACGGAGCCGAGTGGAAACACAGGTGAATGATTGGAGGGGGCGTTTCACTCTTCCACAGAGGAAGGAGCGGGGGATGGACCAGCAGCCAGTGACAGGAGCAGAGTGCTATGGGAGAGCCCAGGAGCTCACAGGTCACAGTGTGACCTCTTCAAATATATATGTGCATGCAAGTCCATATAGTCAGGATGTGTGCAGCATGCAGAACTCTAGTGAGGTGAAACCAGGTAGGACTGATCAAGAATAGCTCATATTTACATTAGCGAGAGGCAGCTGTCACATGCACAAAGTCTCGGGAAAAAAATAAATCCTGCTTGTGTGAAATAAGAGCAATGGGAGTATGAGCTGCTTGAGGTCCGTGGGGACTGGGGCATTCACTTGTTTGGTAGCACTGACAGAACAAACCTGAGGCTTCTGAGAGAGGAGAACCTCGGCCTTGCAGCCAGAGGAATCCTTAGAAAAGAGCGGTTACGATACAGAGATCTGAAAGCCACAGGGAGCAGAGAGAGGGCAGAGTGGAAGACAAGTCACACAGACTCAAACTACAAAGCAGCAGCGCAGCTTTCACCAATATTAATACGACAGAGGAATGGATTTGGGAAACCTCCAGAGGCAGTTTGAGGAGTTTAATGTGATTCCAATCTGAATCTCAATGAGGGATTTCTCAGCTCTGACCGTGAGAGACCTGTTGCCAAGCAACACTAACGGATACAGCCGGGAGGATCCCTGAGGGCAGGAAAGGCAATATGGCCCCAAATATAATGCACCATCATGGGTACTAACATTCACACAAGGATCACTGTGTCCTAACATTAAGCAATGGAACAAGACAAATAAGACTAATACAGATATACGACAGCTCGAGATGGGACGAGATTTTGTGCCACGAGATCATATGGTCCAGAGTTTTTGTCTTTGCAAAAGGCTTACTTTGTGCATTGAGCAACAGTTGAAGTCTAGGCTTCTTCCAATAAAAATGAGTAATTGAAATGAGTAATGGACCAACACCATGACTTTGTTCTCATAGAATCAAGAGATCCTTTTTTTCCTCAAGAAAAAATACAGTGAAACGTGGATCAAATTTACTTCTGTTTCAATGTTGAAAAAATATTCAGTTTCAAAATGTAAGAAACTGTATATCACTGACGTCTCCCACACCGCAGCACCAGGCTGGAGCAGGGAGGGGGCGGGGCTTAAGACCAAGGAGCGCTGGAGGACAAATGAGTTTAACAGAATCTAAAGTGTAATAAATAGTATGTTTCTAAATGTTTGTGTTTTCAACAAACCAAATGAACACTCTTCAACAAACATCAATTCAATCTCAGTCTTTTATCTCGTCCCAGCACCACTTGCAGCCTCTTCGAAGGCGACTGTGACCTACCTGTCCTTTCTGCGCTCTCCCATTGGCAGAGGGCTGACAGAGATGCGAGGTAGGGTGGAGATGGAGCCCTGTGATTGGCTGCTGACAAACGAGGACGTTTCCAGGTTGAGTGGTGATTGTGGAGGTGTGATAAGACTGGGGCTGCTACACTCTGAAAACACACAAGAAAAACCATCGTCTAAATCACCATCTGAAGTGTGAATTTCTGCATTAAAAACACTTTTCCTTCGTGTGCTCCGTAAACCATTCCTCTGATCCAATTTTGTATCATACGAGCTTATCACCATTGTGTGTAGAGTAAAACAACACAAAGACATAACACTTTATTTTCACACAACTTATCTATAATGCATTGTTTGATGTAGTGAATATAGATCTTTTGTGATACTTTTCATGCAACTATGGTTAAAACTTGAAATGTCATCACAAAGTCTGCAGGAGTATTTGTTAGCTTCGACCTTCAGACAAGCATAACATCACTAAGAGGAGCTTCCTTGATTAGTCTGGTTTGTTAGTCTGTCACATGGTGAAAATCTCTGGTCATGTTAATTTTACCAACTATGAACATATCATAACTTATTGTCATTTTCTTCAGTCCCAGAGAAAGTCTTACCTCTGTCGGAGCCCAGCACGGAGCGGGGGTAGCGGGGCGTGGAGGGGATCTTGATCCTCTCTGTGCGATACTGGGCTGTACTTGCAGAACCTGACGCAGAGGAAGGAGGTGATGCTGGAGTTAGGAGGGCAGAGTGAGAGGACAGCGGTTTGGCCCGAGTGTGCGTGAGCGTGCGTGCGTGGGAGTCAGACTGACCGAGGCGTGCACAGGAGGGCAGGGAGTTTGTACCGTGAGAGGCTCTGCTGCTGCGCGACAACGCCGGCTCTGAGAAGTCCCCGCCGCACTTCTGCTGCGTCAGGTCCAGGCTCAGGCGGCCCTGGTGCTGCGGGCTGCGCCACACAACGAGAACATACTTTGGTGAATTTTGATTTATATTTTATTCTGCAGAATGGAAGTTTAGTCAGTGAATGATAGGTGGTGGGCGGAAATGTCAACGGCTCAGTAGCATCACTTCCAGAAGCTTATCGCCAGAGTATGGGAAGAATGAATGAGGCAGTGTAGCGTATCCAAAAACTCTATAAATTATACAGGTTTTGTGAAGTAAACAAAGTTGATTTGATTGTTTTTCTTGAGAAGTAAATGTGCGTGGGAGGTCACCTGGTGGGTGCGTGCTGTTGGCAGATCTGCGAGGCCACAGAGGGACTGTTGCTGGTGTGGACTCTGTGACTGCGGACTGTGTACACGGGGTTCCTCATCACAGCAGTCACAGCAGGGCACGGGGACAGGCCGCGGTGGACCGAGTCTGTCACACGAAACACATTTAGACAGGCTTACACCCTTTACTGTTTTCACCGATGAGTTCTATTCTAAAACAGATCGGAAGACGAATTTCAATACTAGTCGATTAGCTTAAGTTACAGTGAAGAACACTATAGAATTTACTAGATATCTGTGCCTCACTGACTAATACTTTCCATGTAATATAAATAAGGCTAATGACAGTGTTCATTAGACCCATTTTTAAGTGGGCCTTTTATTGGCCACAAGAATACACTCCTGTAGAGTAAAGTAGGACTTTTCCATTTTAAAAAAGGGGTAAAACTAGACTATGAGAGGGGTGTGTTATTGATATATTAACTTTCTGTCCACATTTCCATTGTGATGCATGCCGTGTGTGACATACTGGGAGGCAAGGAGCCATTGAAGAGCGTGGGCACAAAGCCCACACTGTGGCGATGGGAGCGACTGGGAGACGAGCGCAGTTCTCTGGGCTCTGACGATTCTTCTGTGGAGTAGCTCTGGAACAAACCACACACACATTTATAACCCGTCCCTCCAGGGAACAAAACGCTGCAATATCAGGAGGACAAATCATGTGTCTTTTGTGAGAGATGAGAAAAATGACAGTATCAGATAGAGAAATTTCAAAGTTGTGGTGCGCTCTGGGCGTGAGCAGACAGCAGCGCGTCCATCACAGCCGCGGGCTCTGAGTCAGGACTGCAGCATCCGTCACACAGGGACACGCAGCCACAGGCGCCTGGCAGAAAGGCCTGCAAATCCTTTCACGCAGGAGATGGAGCTGTCCACTGGGATGGTTTGAAATGTCTGGCTTTTAATAATCCAGAGACATCTTTAAAGCAGTGAGACTTTATACACGCTTTCATATGCGTAATCTTTAGATATTTTTATTCTTCTTCCTCTAACTGGGAAAAGTCTCTGAACACTCCTTGCAACTTCAGCACTAATTTCTAAAAAATGGTTTATAAGAAGAAAAACAGTAATTGCTTATTGATAAAATTAAGTACTTTTGTTTAGTGATCAGAAAGTAGCACGTTAAGATGTTAATTATAATTAAATTGTTGTGATGTCATGTTATTATTGATGCCATTGTTGGATCAATAAAGGTTTAACTTGAACACCAAAACCTCAAAGACACAGGGCTCCTCATTTGTGAATAGGAAAAAACAGACTGAACAAGTTTGGTTTTCAAATCATAGAAAAAATCCCAGAAAAATACTAGAAATATTTAAATCCCATTCATTACAATTTTCACTGAGCAAGACATTTCACCAGTATTTCCCACTCCAGACAATAGAGACAAAAGAGACAAAAGCACCACTGCTCACCTGGAAAGCAGGCAGCGTGATGGTCTGCGGCGTCATCCTGCGTCGGAGCGCGGGGGCCGATTTGGGGCGCGGTCTCTTCACCTCCGGCTCATCCCCCCTGGAGCGCCCTATGTCCTCGTCGCACGACTTCCGCGACGTCAGCACCTTGCCCTCCAGGAAGTAGTGGTTCCCGTTGCGGTCCCTCTCTGCCGCAGACGCCGGCTCCCCCTTGCCCTCGGACGTGACCGTGCAGTCGGAGGCGGAGCTGCTCTGGTGCTTGTGTTTAAACTTGAAGGAGTCTGAGCGCGTGGGGGGCGTGGGCGGAGTCGCGGTGGAAGAGGAGGAGAAGGAGTCTGCTTTGGACGGCTGCGGGGAGTGCGAGGCTACGACGGCTGCGATCTGATTGGCCGCCATGTATTCCATTTTGGCTAGACTCTCCGGCTTCTTAAACGTATCCGGGTCGAATATGGACTTTCTCTGCTTGGGCGATTTGTAAATGGAGAGCTGGGCAGTTGCTGTGATGGGACTGGTGCTCTCCGGTGCTACGCTCATCCCGCCTGCCACCATTTTGGGCCAGGTGCCGCCGGAATGCTTCTTCTCCATCTCCATACAGTCTGGTGCGGACACCGGGTCATACGGCAGCGAGGAAGGCGCTTTGGAGTACTTGCAGCACTCCTTGAAGGCACTGGGTCCGTAGCGGCCACCCAGCTCGGAGGCCGGGCGCAGACTGGTGGCGTGGAGCGAGCTGGTGGCGTGGAGCGAGCTGGTGGAGAAGGGTTTGCCCAGGTCTCCGTAGACGTCGTCGGGCCGCGTGCTTCTTCTGTCGCCCGGGTCGCAGCTGTAGATGTCTGTCTGCGTGGAGCTGTTGTGCCGGAGGTTGCGGCTGTTGCGGGCGTGCAGCTCTGACAGAGCGAGGCGGCCGTTGGACTTGTCGTCGCGTAAGCTCTCAAAGAGGTTTTGGCCTGACGTGCTGTGTGGGAAAAACTGTGGGGCAGACGAGCATTGGATTATGAAAGCCATTTGGAAGCATATGGCAAAACATCTTTATATTTAGTCATATTTGGAGACCAGAATTTGAGCTTTTTCTATCAGGCTTCTTCTAATCATCTGCTTAATATGCTACTATGGCATTTTAAAGCAAATCTTTCCACAAAAACATTCTTACAAACAACAAACCCAAACGCAATTAGTAATAATCATTAAAAATAAAAAACACAATATATTGACGTTTTCCTCTCTTTAAACCTATTCCTAACCCCAATAAACCTATTCTCATCAATATCCATCAAGGCATTATGCAATAACTTCTAACGATTAGGACATTTTTATTGGTTGTAATTTGCGGCTTCTCAATAAAATTAAAATTGCATAAAAAAATATAAAAATGAGCCAACACAAAGTTTCCATCGAGACTCTCAGGAAAACCATCAAATGTTGTGGATACACTGCATGCTATAGCAATTGCCTCGAACCCTACAATGATGGAATTTTTTTTGTTTATTATAGAACAGATACACAACAGACAGATCCTGCGGTGAAACCCTGCCCACCAGTGCCATTGAAACCTCTACATGTTCACACTAGTACAGTTAAGTCATAAAACACAGGCCGTCCGACACGTTTGCTTACCTTCATGAGAGAGAGGCTGAGCGAGTCCCGGCAGCTCCTCAGCAGCGTCTCGCACTCCGTCACAGATTTGTTGTCCAGAGCGATGCCGTTTATCTGACACAAGGTGAACACAAGAGTCAGACAGGTCCCCCGCACACGGCCTCTTCATCATCTTTATGTGCCTCTGCTTCACCTCTGTGGACTCTATGTGGGCCTATTACAATAACTGCTCATGTGAAATAACAGGCCCGTGTGTTTGTGAGCTGCAATGTACGACTGAGGGAACGCTACGACTGGATGTTGCATTTTGTGGGAAAAAATTCAACAAGGGTTTGATTTTCAAAACTAACAATATGGAAAATCAAGTTGGGACACGACACATGTTTAATTGCTTCACATGCATATTTGAAGGTACACCATCTCTGACCTGCAAAACACAAATGAGCATTTACTAATTCATCCAAAACCTGATGCAACCATTGCTTAACAGCCACGAGGCCATGATAAGATAAGATGGGGTTTCAATAGACAGACAGTTCTAGGTAGCAACGTGTCGGCCATTATTGTTATAGTTCAATAAAAGAAAAAACAAAAAAAAACATTGTAACTTGTATAATAGAATATATTAATCATTTCCTTTGGGTACAGTTACTTTGACAAAATTACTGAAAAAAAAATATTAAATGTGTGTTTGTGTCATATATATTATAACATTATTTCAAAGAAGTAAAATCTGTAAAGTTTCAGTTATGTCAGTTTTGAAGATTCACAAGTATAGAATGTATTTTGACGTGCCCTGTACAGTAAATCCCTTATCTGCCTGGGTTCGGCGCAGGGCAGAGCAGAGGAACACGGCTTACATTAGAAAGTCATGACATGAGCTGCTGGAGGCTGCTGTAACAGGGATTTTAAGTAACAGACAGTGACTTACAGCGATCAGTCGGTCCCCCACAGTCAGGGAGCCTTCTCTGGCTGCAGGGCTGCCCTGGACGACGGCAGTGACGAACAAGCCGCTCTCCAGACCGATTCCACAGTCTGAAAGAACACGGGGCATCATTAGGTAAAGTGAAACTGTACCCAGGGTTCAACATTAACGGATGTCCGCTTGCCCGGGGCAACTGAGGATTTGGGACGGGCATGTGCACCGTTTTGGCAAGTTGCCCGATCGGGCAAGTGAAGTATTACTTTAACCCATTCAGGCCAGGAATGCATTCCCGCATTTCTTCCTCTGGAGCCGGGAGCGGACACGTCTGTTTATTTAATTTTTTACCAATTCTTTTCAACATTTTTCATGGAACCGCAATTTCGACTGCTTTCCGCTGACAACGTAATTTCTGTGAAATGTGTGGCCACGGGCACTTTCTGTTGTCTGCTGTACGTACTCGAACGAGATTCACATCCTCCGTTCTGACCCCGGGAGCAGCTGCGGCCGCTTTGAAAACAGCTCAGTGATTGCACAACCGTAACGTGGACAGAACCATTGACACGCGTTCAGGACAATCCCCAGCGTGTGAAGGTCAGTCCGTGTTTCCTCCCTATGCGCAACCAAAACTCACAAAATTAAAACTTAGGTACGCAATTTTCCCCTTGCATTAAAAATGCGTGTTGGTTGTGCACAAAAGTAAAATCTTGTGAACAAATCAAACAGAACACACCAAAACATGCGTCTTGTCATTATTTTACTTTTTGGGCTGAGAGTGGATTTTTTCCACACAGTTAGCGCCACTTTATATCTAAACTCTTCTGAACTCATTGTATTGAGAAATATTTGGGCAAGTAACTTTTGACATTGGGCAAGTAAAATATAAATGGTACTTGCCTGAAGGGAAAGTGGCTGACAAAGCTTAATGTCAAGGCCTGGTACTCTCATTTTGAATTCACAGGAATGCCACAATATCTGATCTACAATATAGCACTCGATAAACATAAATAATAGTGTGGGTACAATCATCTATTGTCTAACATCTATTTTGATATTATAAAAATGGTTAGGGTTTTGAGTCGTTCAAAGCACATTTAAAACTTGTTCAGGCTTTGTTGTGACCAACAGTCTGTTTACAATGGAATGCATGTATTTTATTGCACTTGATTCCATTTTATGAATGTGTTTGTTTTTAACAATCACATTTTAACTTGTGAAGCCCCTTGTAAGTTTATCCCAATGAGAGGTGCTCTATAAATAAAAACGTCACTTAGTTTTTTGCTCTTAATAAAAACACTTATATGGGGCCATAAGGTTTATTGCAAGTTCTTCTCTTATAGTTTAAACTGTACAAAGAAATGTAAAATGTTATCGTTTATGTCCCTATTTTTAGTATTGATATTTGTCCAAACTACTATCTAGTTTAGATACTAAATTTAGTACTTGATACTTTCCAATACTTTTGACAATCAAGATCAGTAAACAAACTTCTCAAAAAAATCAACAAAAGTCACAAAGTGCTCAATGAGGCATGTTCCAGCAATCATTTAAACGTTACCAGCACACTCAAACTGGTCAACACAACAACAACTCTTTATTGGTATCCATCCATGTCTGAAAGTAATGCATAAAACCAATGGAAAGGCATTGAAAATGTAGCAGCCATCTGTATAACGTAGCAACCCATTACCTTTGTGTCCCGTTAGATTGATGTGAACAGGAGTGACGAGCCTCCCGCCCAGAGACTTCCTCCTCCGAACGACCATGTTGATCAATCCCCCGCCATTAAGTACCGCCTTCAGCACCTGCTTCCTGTCCTTATTGGCCAGGTCCACGTCGTTAATCTTCAGCAGCCAATCATTCACTCTGGAAACGGGGACAGGAGAAGTTATGAAAAATGTGTGTGTCAAACCTAAAATTGAAACGCAGACAAGAGCGCCGTACCGTAACCTTCCATCTGCGATACTTCCTCTGTCCACCCGTGTCACGAATATCCCGGTGTCTCCTGGTAAATATGGATCATTTACTCCTTCTGCGATGTCGAACCCAAGAGCCTTCAAATCCATGTCCTCCTGCACACACAGAGGACATCTCTTAACAAGAAATAACTAACACTTATTGGTGAGCAACATTTTGGTAATGAGCAAATGTGTCGTATAAGCAGCTTTCAAAGTTGACAAATTGCAAAAAGCTTTTATATAAATCACGCCACAGAGAAGCGGTGACAAATTAAGATTCTCGACGTATGTCGTGGCTAGTCGGTGTGAATTTTAACCAACTAACAAAACACTCATGGTGTTTAATGGTCTAATTGTGTTAAATAAAAAAAAACCATGGGAAGAATTTCAAAGGTAAGCGGTGATCATGACAACACTTTTGCCGTAGCTGATGTAAGTAGCAGAATTACAGCATGAGCTCCTAAATCCAGTTTTTGATTTTATTCATCTCATATTGATTTTAGCCCGTCCTCCTCCATCTCGTATAAAGTTCCAGGCCTCCACCTTTTATCACATTTCAATAAACTTCTTGATATATTCATGAAAACAAGCAGAGGACCAACAGTGCATGCTCACCCGGTCCTTCTCGAACTCCACCACCTCCGTCTCCCACTCCAGGGAGTCTGTGTCGATGGCAGAGTCGTGTGAGCTGTGAGCCATGAGTTGACAAAAGCGAGCCTCCTGAACCAGAGTGCTGTCCATCTTCTCTCTACATATCCACACACACACAACACACACACACAAACAAAAAGAGGAGGGAGAGAGGGTCAGAGACACCACTCAGGCAAAGGACAACAAACGATATGAGTCACGATGGAAGTCAGCGCAGGAGAGTATTACATAAAGACAACAGTACATTTAACTCCAATGTGTAGTTGTGAAGGTAAAAGAAAAAATGTGATAATAAAACATGATTTGTTTTTAATTTAACCTTTTTAACCTCTTAACACCCACCGGCGCGCCGTTTTTATGTTTTTAAATGTTCTGCTGGCAATAGCAGATGTATTTTGAACACCAAACCCCAAAAGCTGTATATCATTTTAAAGCTTATTTTCTTATCTACATTTATATACAAGTGTAAACTACACCAGACTTTGCATTCAAAAGATATAACACATAATGTGGGCACAAAATAAATCAATTCCGAAATAGTTTTTTACCTTTGGGCTTGTGCTGTACAAATAAATCAGCTCTCCTCCCAGCTTGCAATACATCATTCTCTCTGGAACAGTCCAAAGGAAAATTATATCCACTTGTATTTCCCAAAGTAAAATCCATTCTGCAGAAATAATCCAAAAATGTGCATTTATCTTTAGCAAAAAAAACGAAAAAAAAAAGAGCACAGATGTTGTTCTTTCACTTTTAACGGACTTTTAGCTTTGTTTTTCACCCTAACATCTGGTATCTACGTGTTCCTTAGCTCCTTATCTTTCAAATGAGACTACTCCCGAAAAGCTAGACCAATTTTTGGGTCTGCAAGAGCTCCCGTGAGTACAGCTAGCGCTGCTGTTTGCGCATGGATCACTGATCTTTGTTGTGGTCCCAACTTGTTTGCATTTACTTCCGGGATGTTTAATTGACATGTCCGTGTAGCCAATGAGGAAAGCTTTCGAGCAAGGGGTGGGACAATTGTGTCCTGTCTTATGTTGTGCCTGTAGAATTGTGCGTAATGGCAGCCAAAAGACGCTCTCAAAGTTGCAATGAATTTACACTCATAAAAAAATAACTTTGACATAAAAAAAAAAACACACACATAGATTAGTAACTATGGAAGCCCGTTTCCGCCATGTAAAAAAAAAAAAAAAAAAGCCTACAGAAAGTCAAAATTACAACTTTAAAAGTCAAAATTTCGACTTTAAAAGTCAAAATTACGAGTTTTCAACTGCGCATGTGCAGTTGAAAACTCGTATGTGTTGTTGTCTGGAACGGTCTCTGGTCATCCCTGTTATAGATCCATGACCATGGGTCATCCTCTACCTGCAGATTATGTGAAGATTTTGCCTACAGACAGTGACCACATCTATGAAGTAGCAGCAATAATGTTGTGGTAGTAATCGCGTTAAAATGCAAACGGTCTCTCCGTTTATGATTAGAATCCGCTTCAGAAGCCTCTATTTAGTTTATCCTAAACGGACTGTGGAAGATTAATAATAAAACACATGTGGCTGTTCAAAGTCATTGAGCATCAACTGGTGACGTCTGGTCAGTATCATTGCGATCGATGGATGCACCAGAAATGCAGTGAATATTATTGTGACTGACAGAGAGACCGTTCGCGATTACTGGACAGTGAGGGAGGTCCGCAGACAGAGGCAGGAGAACCACAGACAGAGGCAGGAGAACCACAGACAGAGGCAGGTAAACCACAGACAGAGGCAGGAGAACCACAGACAGAGGCAGGTAAACCACAGACAGAGGCAGGTAAACCACAGACAGAGGCAGGTAAACCCCAGACAGAGGCAGGAGAACCACAGTCACGGGCACTGACATTATTACCCTTTTGGAATTGCGATCAGTGCATTGAAGAGTATGTGACGTGTTTGCGTGCACGCGGGGGTGAGCTGATGGAGCGAGCATGTGGTAAAGTTGTTGGCGTATGAGCAAGAACACAGAGACATACTGGGAATATTTACCTTGTCTGATTATTTTATTGTTACAAAATAAAGTCCACGACTCTTTTAGCAACAAACCGGAGAAATAACTCCGCAGATAACAGTGAGGGTCTTTGAAAAGGGTTAGAAATAGATAAACCCATTATAGATGCATGAATAAAACCCCGTACACAACACGTAGAAAGCGCATCATTTCAGCCGTGGACAGACTCGCTCCGTGTGGACCCCTCTCAGTGCCATCGTCTGGTTAGAGTGGTCTACAGCAGATTGGATTGGAATGTCTCGATGGCTCATTTTCCTTTGATTTATTATAAAAACGAATTGCTCACATTATTTGTTACTATGTCGAAATAAGAAGTCGTTTGATTTAAATGTTGTATATATGTAAATTGAATTTAACATAAATAAATAAAAAGACAGCTCCTCCCTGCGTCCTACAACCGCGGTCTGGGGCTTAAACAGGAAAGTTTTACAGAATCAAACATTATTTCTGGCTACTTCAAGGATGCAGTGGTCGCTGTCAGCAATATCTTCACATAATCTGCAGGTGAAGGACGTCCAGAGACCGTTCCAGACAACGACACATACGAGTTTTCAACTGCACATGCGCAGTTGAAAACTCGTAATTTTGACTTTTAAAGTCGAAATTTTGACTTTTAAAAGTCGTAATTTTGACTTTTAAAGTCGTAATTTTGACTTTTAAAAGTCGTAATTTTGAGTTTTAAACTCAAAATTTTGACTTTCTGTATGCTTTTTTTTTTTTTACATGGCGGAAACGGGCTTCCATAAGTAACTTATAAGTACCAATAATAAAAAAATCAATATTTTTTTATTATGATTAAATGTCAGTAAAGATATTTGGCACAATTTGGCACAATTGTGCCAAATTGTGCAAAATGTGCACTACTTGATGAAAAGGAGAAACTGCATAAAAACTATAAAACTTAGAAGTCTGAAACTTTAGACAGTTGTTGTCAACAACACAATGACCACAGGGTTTGAATATTGTGAACTTACAATGAAGTATGCCTTTTTTAGGGCCTTTAGAAATGGAAAATGTTAGGCGAGGCTAAAAAAATTTTTTTTTTTTCCCCCAAACTTCAAAGGATGCAGAGGGAAATAGGAATGACAAACATTATTTTTGTGTTTTTTTAACATAAACTAGAAGGCTCTAGCTTTAAAATGATGCATCACACAAGCATGTGAGATGTAAGATGTGTTTTTAAATAAGCAAAGACATTTGGGTATGCCCAACTTTTGTGCACGAGCCAAAATGAGGCGGGTGTTAAGAAACATAAAAAGGTTGTGACCGTTTAAAACAGGGGTATTGGGGATTTTTTTGACCTCATTTTCAAAAAGAAAAAAAAAAAATAACTATGAGAGTATATTTACTACATTGAGCCTACTTGACTAATGTACTTTCAGTCTACACTCTACAGCGATTGTTTATTTGGTCTCAAAAAGCATTCGAACAGACAAACATTTTAAACTATATATAAACATTCTGGAGGGGCGACAGTAGCTCAGATGGTAGAGCATTGGCCTTGAGGCCAGAAGGTCGTGGGTTCAATTCCCACCTCTGCACCTTCTCCACCGACTCCCACTGATGACTGCTGTCGTTGTGTCCTTGGGCAAGACACTTAACCCTACTTTGCCCAAAAGCCCCCACTGAAAGATCAAGGCTATGCTCACACTCAGAGAGCAGCCGTCCTCCTGTGGACTCACCACCTGCAGAGGGTCAGTGAGGGGCTGGTGCTATGAGACTTGGGTGGCATCTCTGATTGACACCCCCATGACCCAGAAATGGATTAAAGGGTAGAAAATGGATGGATGGATGGATGGATGGATAAACATTCTGGGAACATTTCTTAACAAATTGAGATTTATCTAATAGTTTAGATACAAACCTTTCTAATTATACACAAAACATACTACACCATGCTGTTATAAATAAGATCTAAAAGGTAGCTACATTTAAGCATTTGTTTAATTTACCGTCCTCATATAAGCTGTAATGTACAAAAACGCCAGCAGAGGGCACTTGTACTGCACTGAAATGCGAGTTGGCAAGCACTGAGGGGAGATGGAGAGAGAGCACAAGTCTGAGTGTCCGCTTTTCGGGATTACACTTTTAATCTGACCATGCGGAAACAGGACAACAACACTCCGCCGTGTCGTCCCTGCGGTGACAGAACATTACAGTTTACACACGGCCACACGTACTACAAGGGGCTGGGTGTGGAGAGAGACAGGCCTTTTGCACAAGCGAAAGATAAGAAATAAAGAGATTCAAGAAGTACTAAGAGGGTCTTGGCAGTGGTCCTGCATAAATTGACAGGCCACATTAGGTCGGTAACAAGTAAAATCAATTAAATCGCAACTCGTTATTGAAATAGTTATCAATTGATTTAGAAATTGATGAATTGTGTTTTTGAACCGTGCCTGGACCAAAACATGCCCAGAAGAGGTTTTCCGACTCAGACATTGCTTTCTAGTATTTCTCATCAAACAGCTAATGTTACATTTAGACGAAAACGAGTGGCATTTTAAGCTTTGGTCAAATGTGTTAGAAAAAATAAATAAATAAATAACTTAGTTGATGGATTTAAATAACTATTTATCTAAATGATGTAATACTGTTAATTACAGCCTTAATATGAATGCAAGGGGCTGGAGCAGCTACAGGATTCCAAGCAGGAGCACATCAAACTCCACCCATTTCCTCAAGTGAGTTGTGAGACACCAATTGAGTGGGGAAAGTCAATATTCAATTTATTATTCTAACAGAAGTCGATCCTTCATGTCTATTGGTTTAAAAAAAGAGGTCCAAATATGTATGTTATATGTGTTATTAGTTCCACACACTTTCTTGTCCCCCTTACTTTAATTCCTTCATTTCTCTCAGTGCATCGTTCCTCTGTTTCCTCATGTCGTCCAGATTCCGGAGTGCGTCGGCCAGATCGCTCACGGCGCGGTCGCGCTCTCTCCGCAGGTTGTCGCACAGTGTACTGCAAAAGGAACCGAACATAAGCCTCTCCACTTCTCACTTCTTCACAAACCATCTTCTGATGATCATCACTGTACCGTATGCTCTCCCTCTCGGCCACGATCTTGTCCCGTTCCTGAAAGGCCCAGTCCCGCCTGCACTTTGCCACCTCGGCCTCCTGCGCCGCCTCCTTCAGCTCCTGGGACATGGCCTCGTACTGCTTCCTCAACATCTCGATCTCTTTGTTGGCTCTCTCCATGTCTAACGTGGCAGAGTCTTGTTTCTAGAAACGAGATAAGGTAAGTAAAAAAAAAAAATACAATGTACAGTTAATCATGAAGGTTAGAAGCTAATCATTCATCTGCTCTCAGCAATGCAATTGGAATAGCAATAGCAATAGAACCAGGAAACCTTTGTCAAAGACAGACTAACCAGACACCAGAAGTCATGGTGTCAGGACTGTCCAAATTTTCCGGAATGACAAATACAGCTACAGTATCGGCATATACATACTTTTGTGCCGTCAGTGGCAGGACTTTAGTCTATTTTATTAATAATATTACGTACCAGGATGCATAAATGCTAAGAGCTAATATAGGCCATTTCATCAAATACACTATGATTAGTGAAAGATATGAAATCTGTGTCTATCATCCGATCCATCCTGATATGAAAGAATGTGCTTCTGAACCAACTGGTGTGGAGCAGGTCGAGCTCAGCATGTACAAAATGAATTAACCAATACTCCGATGCCACCTTGAGGTCTGCCTCCCCTGGGGCCTCACCTGTCGGGCCTGGTAATACTCTCGCAGCAGCTGGTCCCTCTGGATGATGGCTTCTGTCCTCTCTTTGCGGGCCACGTCCCTCTCCTCCCTCACCATCTCGATGTCCTTACAGGCCTGGGACAACTCCTTCTGTGCCTCCGCCTTGTCCTTCACCTCGTGGCAGTACTTCTCCAGCAGCTCGTTTCTCTCGCAGATGGCCCGGTCGCGGTCCACCAGCGAAGAGTTCAGTTCCTGCAAAACAAAAACAAAAAACTGATGGATTCTATATTTTTCTTTCAAAACATAATTTCACATTTTGTACCCAGTTTCAGAGTCCCATCTGTAACCCAGCTCTTTAGCACATTGTATCACGGTTTTAAGAATATTTAAAGCAAGTATGAAAACTCTGAAATAGTTGCTGCTCCGCTGGCTGTTCCCCAAACAAAAAGACAGAATGGGGGCAGGTCAATGTTGGTGGCTGCTACTTATAAACGTGGCGCACTGCCTTGGCACAAATAACTTAACCTTTGGAAATAAAGTTCAGCTGTAAACTAGTGAAATATTTAATGGATCATGATCTCAATTTGTTTAAGAAATCTAACATACTGTATGTGTAAGAACAAAAACACAACATTCACCATACAAACATCACTTCATCAAAGGCTTCGATTGGACAGAGCAGAGAGAATGTGATACTAACTAAAAACGACCGAATTCCAACATTACGCTAATAATTTTACCAATAGAACAAACAAAAAGTGAACATTTGGTTGTCTCTTAATTTTTTTTTTACTTATCCCTTTGACAAATCTCGTTTTAACACAACATTTACATGAAAAACAGATACAAAGTTACTTACTCAAACATTTCTCTTATCAGTTTGCTTGTATCCTGTCATTTTTAGTTATTTTTTAATAGTTGACGTTTAATAATTCAACAGTGAGGGCCTGGAACATGGTATATATATAACAGGTGCTTCTAAAAATTAAATTTTAGCCTTGCTGGTGTCCCATTGCTGAACTAGAGATCCTCAGTCCTCTCTCCACTGCTGCCCCACTGCGCTTATACCTGTCTGAGAGCTTCGAGCTCCTCGCTGGCCACCACTCTCTCAGAGGAGGTGTTCTTGAGCCGGGCCTCCGCAGACTCTAGCTCCGTCTGTAGTTTGTCCAGCTCCTTGATGACTTGGTCCCTCTCGCTCATGATGAGACGGTACTCATTGAACACAGAATCCCTCTCCTCCTTGTACTTCTCGCAGTCCTTGGCTGATTTAAGCTGCGAGTTCTTGTATCGCGTGACTTCAGACTGCAGCCGCTCCATCTCCCGCTGCAGCTCCTTGTTCTGGGACGCCGACTTGTTCAGTTCCTGCTGCACTGAATCAAACCTAAAAGGATAAAGAAGAGTTTATGAGGGCTGTATCACCGCGCTGTGCACTCTACCAGCAGCTCATAAACTAATACCTGCGCTGTAAACTAGTTATACAAGCACAGATATTCTTCTTAAACCCAGTAGACTCCACACAATAAATCGTATTCTTCTCGATATGCTACCACTGCTAAAACCTACTAACTTCATAAGATTATTACTTTTCCATTCTGGCACCTCATATATCAATCAATCAATCAACGTTTATTTATAGAGCGCCTTTCCTACACAAGGCAACGCAAAGCGCCTCACAACCCATATAACATCATGCATAAATCATCAAACATTAGAATTTAAGTAAACATAAATAGACAGATTAAGAGCACAAGATATATAAAATCACACAAGTAGTTAAAAACCGTAAAAAATTAAAATCACACAAGGGATTACAGTCATAAATAATCATAGCGCATTAAAAAGATTAAAGATAAAAACAAATGTAAAATCATTCACTTGTATGCACAGCTAAAAAGAACTGTTTTCAGTTCAGTTTTAAAAACTGCTAGAGTAGACGCCTGTCTCACACTCTCGGGAAGACGGTTCCAGACTCTAGCTGCATGAATCTGAAACGCAGCCTCCCCATGTCTAGTTCCGACTCTTGGCACTAACAGAAGTCCAGTCCCTGTGCTCCTCAGAGCCCGAGTTGGTTCATATGGCACCAACATGTCGCGGATGTACCCTGGTGCGAGGCCATGGAGAGACTTGTACACAAGTAAAGCTACTTTAAAATCTATTCTCTGAGCCACAGGAAGCCAGTGCAGAGACCTGAGGACCGGACTAATGTGGTCGTACTTCCTGGTTCTAGTCAGGACTCGAGCTGCAGCATTTTGGATGTACTGCAGCTGTTTTACCGCTTGTTTAGAGAGACCTGTGAACAAGCCATTGCAGTAGTCCAATCGACTGGAGACAAATGCGTGGATAAGAATCTCCAAGTCTGCTTTAGACACAATGTTTTTAATTTTAGCAATGTTTCTTAGGTGGAAGTAAGCTGATGATGTCACAGATGATATGTGGCTATTGAAATTCAAGTCTGAGTCCATTATTACTCCTAGATTTCTGACCTGAGTTGAGGGTTTCAGGGAGAGAGACTGGAGGTGGCAGATAACGCTCTCTCTTTGTTTCTGAGGTCCGAAAACAATAATTTCAGTTTTTCTGTGTTTAGCTGGAGAAAGTTATTTTGCATCCAATCACTGATCTGTTGGATACAGTGAAGGAGCGAGTCCACTGGTCCATGTTCTCCTGCTGTCAGGGACACATAGACCTGAGTATCGTCAGCGTAATTGTGATAGGACACGTTATTACTGTGTATTAACCTACCCAGAGGCAGCATGTAAATATTAAACAGGAGAGGCCCCAGGATTGAGCCCTGTGGCACTCCGCAGGTCAGGGCCAGATGGTCTGAGACACAGTTTCCGATCTCCACAAAATACTTTCTGTCCTGTAGGTAGGATATAAACCAGCTTAGGGCTGTTCCAGAAACACCAAGCAGTACATCTCTTTTACTGTGTCTTTTTTATAAATATTTAACCAACTCTGCCTTAAACAAGTGTGTGTCTGCCAGTACAAATATATAATCAATGTTCAAAAGGTGCGATCAGTCAATATCCTAGAGCAGGCTTTTAATTTGGCCTTTTCCAGTTGGTGGTCCAAAAACGATTTCCATGCAAAGTTACTGACAGGACAGAAGCAAAGATGAAATAGAAAAAAAGATATGGATCAAATCTAAAATACATTTTAGTCTTGGTACAGCTGCTCCCTTCTCAAAATTGGGGATATTCAACATGTTGGGTTGTTTTGAGTTCCCGTTGTTGATGGAAAGCGAGAGGTAAAACCGGATATTATGTGACGTGTCGATTTTGTCGAATGCCTGCACACCACACACTGTACGACCAAAATGGTTATAACTGTAGTAAATCGCCATCGTGTGAACCAGGCACTAGCCATCATCTAGAAGCCAACCAGTGGGGGTGGGTCCAGGCTCAAAAGGGTCCATGAGCTGACATGCTTGCAATCTGGCTCTTTGCGTGTGGTGCCATACCCAGAATTCATTGGATAACAGAATTATCCAATGAATTCTGAGCCCTTTTTTCCCCTTAAAAATAGCTTTACAGCCTTGTCCAAAAGTCGACCTTTTTTTGGACCAGCCTAGTTTATCCGCTGTGGAATTTGGAATCAACACGGGGTTTTTTTGCCATTTCAGGCTAGTGCCGGCTAACACATGCGTAAAAGCGGTTTGCACCAATTTCAACGAAGGAAATGGTTGTCACTGGGTTTGTTCATATTTACAGTCTATGAAGCAAACATGTATTTTAATAGAAAGTGAAGCCCTAATTGACATTCATTTTGTTGCTGAAGATTTCAAAAGTCAGTGCAACCCATCCCCACATAAACTTAAAAACACAATCTATAATTGACACTTTCCCAAAGCTCTGGTCTCACCTCCTCATGGACGTGGAGTACTGCTGCTGGTAGTGCATGGCCGAGTCTCTCTGGAGCAACAGTGCGTCGGTCTGCTTCTGCAGCCGCCGGTTCTCCTCCTCCAGCTGCTCCAGACGGGACAGGTCCGTGTTGTGGTTGGCCACCTTCTCGCTGTAGCGCTTGCTGAGGACGTCGTAGTCTTTCTTCACGCCCTCCAGCTTGTCCATGGCTGTGTCGTACAGCTTGTTCAGCACCTCCGACGAGCCGTTTTCCCGCATCACCTGGACACCACGCAATCACAAGATTAAAGATGGATCCGAAAGTGAACAGTTTTATGGCTTAATACTGTTAAACTATAGCTAAAGAAAAAGCAACAGACAAGTATATGGTTTACATACAACATACCACACCTTTCAAATACAAATTCATATTCTATTTTAATACTAATGAATAGACTTGAGACCAGTGATTTTACACTGTCACCCACTCCTTTTAAAACCTGTGCTTAGAATTCATATGAATTAGCATTTTGTCTGTATTAGGCTAAATTTATCTTAATTGAGGCATATGTTGACTGCCTTAAAACAAGATTTATCAATAGGACAAGAAAAAATAAAGCAAAGCAACATTTCTTGAAATAAGACTAAACTGCTAATATGATCAAACGGCTTCAAAAATGAATGGCCAGCTTTTTTAAGAATGCTTCCCAAATTCTCTTATATCATTCTTAAACTGTGGGTTGCCATCTATGATGTGAATGGAATTTAAGACGTGAATGAAACGTCCTTTTAGAACTGTATTACTCCCTTGATATTACAAAGACTATCTTTTCGTTTCCACATTTTTGTCACACACTATCCCTTGGCTTATGGAAATCTGTTTAAAAAGATTTACTGCCAGTTTGGAAACTGCTAAACAAAGTAATAACCAGGGGAAAGGAAATAAGTCACTTTAATCCAAACGCATGATGCAAAGATGAATTGGTCTATTTTCTAACAATAAAATTAATCTTGTTAATTTACGGAAAGTATAGCAGACGAAGCAATATTAAAAACCTATTATGTGGTGAAAATCCAATGACATCTCATTTTGTGGCACTTTTCGGCACTCGTACAGCAGATGGCACTAATGGGTAGAGAGATTTCCCCTATGATTACTCTCTCACAATATTCCCATTCCTGCCCGACCTCGACAGTGTAACATGTTTTCAGGCTTCACTTCTTGCTGATAAAGTCTCCCAAACAGCCGCGCTCCCCGGGGGGCCGTGTTGACCTTGTCTGCAGCGCTTATTGTGCAGGCTCCAGTCGTCATGTCGCTACACTGCCCGGGCCGCCCTGCCCTTTGCCCGAGCGGCTGCCCTTTTCAGAATGGCTCCGTGTGCATTTCCTTGTGCTTGGCTGCCCTCTGCTCCCAGCTACTGCAGTGCTCCAGAGGTCGCCGAAAACAGTTAAACAAATGCTTACTCTTACAGTGAAAAAGTTTGGGCATCGCATCTCAAGTTTGATGACCTGAATATTATTATAACAGCATGATATAACTATAATATTTGCAGTGTGAATTACAACGGGCTGTCCATGTGCGGAACCAATTACACCTGACTGAACTAGAAGAATGGTCCAAAATTCTTTCCACCAGAACCCAGACTGATTTAGAAGCATGTTGAAGATGATATAGTCGATTTTTCTCTTGTGGTGCCTAAATCTATTCAAGTGCCTTATTTGATTTCAATATTTCTGGCACTTTCTGTAAATTATAAAAAAATTCAAATTTCACTTCTCATATGTAACCGTTCGTCTCCTACACGATATATTAAGACTGAATTTTCTTTTGCAAACAAACAAATGATTTTTAAAGGAAGATCATAAAAATTGAAAGGGGTGCTCAAACTAGTGCATATCACAGTATTTTTGAAAGGTTTAACTTATTTAAAAAGGGACAATGTACAATTAGAAAATAAATGTTACCATTTGATGCATTGTACCGGAGTTAGCCTGAGGCTAATTTGCATCGGTAGTCCCCAGGCAGGGAAGAAAACTCCACGTAGAGGTGGGTATAAAATGTCTTAATGTAATGTATAAAATGTGGGTATAAAAATAAACTTGATAATGTTAATCACTCAATACCTACATGACCCTGGTGTTTCTTAAAATAGTAATATGGATTTGATTGTAAATCCAGATACGACTCATAATAACTGGTCAATTGGGCGTCTGCGATCCCCTAAGACGGGAACAGACTAATCTCTTTCCAGATGGATAAGGAAAAGAATTGGCTCTTTGGTTGCCATGAAGTTTGCTCTAGATTTTGACCCAAAGAGCGTGGAAGAGTTAGCTACAATAATAATAACAATGCAGAAACAGAAATTAACTATGTACGCCTTCCTACAGCCATGTTTCCACTGCATGTCCTCAGTGGTGAGAATGATGATGCCATATTTGTGAGTGGAGTACGGTGGTACCTGCTGCTGCTGTTGGCGCAGGTCGGCCAGCTCCTTCTGGTCCTGGGTGTGCAGTCTCTTGAGCTCCTCGCAGCTCTGCTTCACGTGGTTGTGCTCTCGGACCAGTGCAGTGTTGTCCCTCCGCACACTCTCCACCTCCTCCTTCAGCTGTGACTGCTCCCCCAGGACCCGGCTGTGCAGCATGCTGAGAGCAGAGAAGGGCAAGAAAACTGTTTGAGTCACTAAAGATCATGCTGAAAATACTGTACAGTGTTTAATGGGAAACAAAAGTAAATGTAAAAATGGCTAATAAAAAAGGCATGGGAGATTTGTATCTTTAGGGAACGTTCAATCCTTCAGTCCATGTCCTTTTGAAACTGTGACAAGGATTTATTATATTATTTTTTTTACATTTTAAATCTTAGTAGTTAATCAATTAACATGTTATAACTAGGGCTGTCAAACGATTACATTCTTTATCAATTTAATTACGGCCTAAAAATTAATTGCATTTCAAACTATCGGCAAAATATTTTTATGTAAATGGTTGTTTGAATGGAGAGATAAATGACAACATAATGTACATATGTACTGTATTTGTTTTTTTATTAATGTCAGAATGTCATTAAATCTGTTTGATTTGCTCACAACAGGTTACTTCTGGGCACAACCAACATGAACTGGAAGGGAAAAATTAGGTACCCCAGCTTTAATTTAGCTAGTGCGCTTTGGGAGAAGACACAGAGGAGACTGAGGCTCTGTAGTCCAGCTTCAGCGGGGCATTTATTGCATGCACAGGTTACACACAGGTTTGATCAATAATTTTTTTATTTCAAACTTCATTGTCAAATCCAGTGTCATGGCAGTTCATGGCAGGCTACGCAAAGGCACGCACACAACAAGCAGAGAATAGTCCTGTGCGTGTGACGTTACGCCGGCGCCGTTTGCCATATTGCTGTCAAAGCGGCTCATGGCCGCTGGAGGTGGGAACCGCTATCCAGAGCGGCCGCAGCTGCCCCGGGTCAGAACGCTGCAGCCACGGAGGATGCAGACTCCCGTTCGAGTTCATAGCAAACAGCAGCAAGTGCCCCACGGTCACACGCATATTCTTTATAAACTTGAATTCCCAGAGACCTGCTCTGTCACCATCCTACACACGTATGTGTCCGCGGCATTCTAATTGTGTTTATGGGATGCATGGGCGGGTCATTCGGCACATGCATTAAATGCGTTATTTTATTTTTTTACACAATTAATGAAAATAATGTACGTGCCATTATTTTTTGACAGCTCTAGTTATAACAAAGCATAGATCACCTTAAAGCTTACTGTAATTGACTAGTCTATCAAGTCAAATCACTAAACAGGGCAAATCGGTGTGCCCCTGGGCAGGTGTGGCTACAATAGAAGTTTATCACCGCTGAAAGAATGACATGTGAAGCGTCTTTGAGCGTCTAAAAAATCTCTATATAGAACCGATGCATTTTTTTAAAATGATCTCAGAATAAAAATGGCAGCTGATCCCTGAAGTAGGCCATCTCAGTTCATATCAGGTCTGCTAATACAATATTAAAAGTTAAACCAAATTGAAGAGCCATGAATTAACAATTAAGTTTTACACATTAGCCTTTTAATACTTTTAGAGTCCAGAGGATGGCAATGGCCTCAATAGATAATCATGTCACTGCTTCATGGACCACTTCAGGCTCCACTTTCAAATAGTTATGGGTGATTCAATTATACCAACGACTATACTTTAAAGCTTTTATGATGGATTTGGAAATGAAAGTAATATTTTCCTTGTTCTCCAGTATAGAAAGATAAAATCAAACTTTATCCATCTCACATTGAATTAATAATAATACAAATAATAATAAATAGGTTTTATATAGTGCTTTTCAGGAAACTAAAAGACGCTTCACATGTCATTCCTTCACTCCAAACACAGTGGTGATAAACTATTGTAGTCACAGCTGCCCTGGGTCAAACTGACAGAAGTGAGGCAACCAGTATGTGCCATCGGCCTCTCTGTGCACCACTACACCCAACCCCACACACAACACCAGCTCAGCACTTTACAGCCGCTCCACTGTGGCACCTGGTGTTCCCAGAGGTCTCCCATCACAGCACTAACCACGCCCTGCCCTGCACAGCTTCAGAGGTCTGGCTTTCGCATGGCAGTATGGCTACAATGGTCTCAATATTGGAGTACCTTCTTATCATGAGTTTGTGTAAATGTAAAAGTGTGGCTCACTGGTAGAAGTCTGCCTCTTTGACGGCCTCCTCACATCTCTTGAGTGTTTTTGTGTGCTGGTTCTGTAGGGACTGCAGGTCGGCCATGGCTCTCATACACTGGCTCTTCAGGCGCTCGTAGTCGTGGCTGGGCTTGAAATTTGGTCTGCAAATGGCAAGAAAGAATTTGTTCATTCATAAAACATTAATAGAAGGCATTATTCTTGTGTGTGGAGTGATTTGAGCCCTGAGATACAGCTGGCAAGTTCTAGTACTCGTCTAACAGTTCACTTGTTATGTCACACATTTAATTAACATCTATTTATAACTTATCACCTCGGTTCTGTCGAAGTGAGGTGAAAAGCAGCATAGGTGTCAACTCCTCAGCTCTGTTGGGGGTTTTGCTAACACTGTGAAATGAGAAACTTTTATGTCTCCAAATATTATTTTGCTTTGGCTTAAGGGCACGGCATGGCATACCTAAAAGCTTTGGTTGTTTGTTCTTTGTCCATTATTAGTTAAAACTTATGTCAAAATGTGTATTTATGGAAAGAATGACATTGATGCAATTCACTTCAGAATACCCTTTGCATATCAAGAGAAATGCTAATACCTATTAACTAAGACATTTATGGACTTCCGCAACATAAATGCGTAAGTCATTGATCCACAGAGCGCCATTATGGATCAATGGCTCTATATGAAAGAATGAATGAATATTTATTTATTATTGTGTCTTGCATGCAACTGTACGCCCAGCCCTTTCATGGGCTTATAAGACGCCAATATAAAGTACTGGATCAGATGACTGACAGGGAACAATATTTAACTTCTTTGAATAAACAGGATTGCCGGCGCTTCCAGACTTTACCAACATAAGTAGCCAATTTAGGGTGTATTCAGACCTGAAAAGTCCTTTGCTCCGCTTGCTTGATCCGAATCAAAAGCGGACCAAACTTTTTTCTTTTGCTCCGGTTCGTATTCAGACTGTCCTTTTTGCAAGTTAACTTTTTTATATGAACATATTGACACGTGTGACGATCGGCGCTCCTATTGGACAGCGAGAGCTCATGGAGGATAGACGCGGAACCGGAGGAAAACATTGAGGGCTCGTATGTGCAGCATGTCTGCTCTGCCTATGTTTGCTCTTTTTAGAGCAAAACCACCTTCAACATCAACAGCAGCTCATATGACACAAGCCAAACACGTTGTTTTAAATATTGGAACAGCGTCGAAGAATGCGTGAGGAGAAAGCCGAAGGAGGTGCGCTCCGTGTCCTGTGCCACACATGGATCTATGATCATAACCCTGTTCCACAACTTACTGACAGCAGCATGTGGATAAACCATGGATCTATAATAACCACGGGACAAACAGACGCTGAGGATCAGGTAGGAACCAAAGAACACAATTCACTACATGATGCGGAATATTGCTCTTTGAGACGTGGGTCAAACAGTGTCAGGCTTTTAATAATGCAAATGGTTTGAAGATGCTGCCATTAACATAACTGTATACTGTCATTAACATAACTGTATACTGTGAACAGTTTTAACTCCATAAGCCTGTTGCACAGCGTCTCCTCACTGCTCCAGGTCTGCACACGGCTCAGTGTTGTTGTGTAGCGTTAGCAGCATAGTTAGCAGCATAGTTAGCAGCATAGTTAGCAGCATAGTTAGCAGCATAGTTAGCAGCATAGTTAGCAGCATAGTTAGCAGCATAGTTAGCAGCATAGTTAGCAGCATAGTTAGCAGCATAGTTAGCAGCATAGTTAGCCGCTGCGTGGCTAATTCCTCAGTTTCTGTCTGCGGCTTGTTAAGCCCAAAAAATGCGCACGTATCTTGGAGTTGTGTCGGATCGACACCGGATGTATTCAGACCTGATTCGACTTGGGCCAGAATTCGTTTGGAAGCGGACCGAGACCACCTCAAAAAGTGGGTCTCGGTTCGGTTCTTTGGTCCGGACCAGGATTCGTTTGTGTGTATTCAGACCTGCATAAAAGCTTCGGATCAGAGTTCCAAACGAATCCTGGTCCGTTTAAAGTGGAGCAAATGTGCAGGTCTGAATACACCCACATTGGAATAAAACATTTTCACCTCATCATCATCACTGCTCCAAAACAATTCAGGCTTTTTAGCAAACAGACCACTAAACAGAAGAATACGAAGATTGTCATACAAAGGACAATACAAAACTAAGTTTTTTATCATTGCATTTCTCGTGTTTGAACGGATCTGTGTTGGTGAATTCAACGGTTTTGTAAAGTTCTTAGAGATTACTACTGTTGTGATTTAGGGTTATACAATAATAAATGTAATTGATTTGAAAACTCCCTGGCTGCTTCCACATCTTTATTATAGCCTCTTATAGAGTTCTATGTTTTTACTTTCTATACATGCTCTGAGTGTGCTGACATTGAGCCCAGTGAATGTGAAGCTGGCACCTGCAGTCGTCGAAGGTGGTCCCAGGAGAGGCCAGGGCCAGCCTCTTGCGGAGCTCGTCCCTCTCGCGGGTCACCTGCCGCAGCTGCCCCAGGATGGTGTCCAGGCTGTCGGGAGGCGGCCTGTTGTCGTTCATGGCGGGAGGAGGGGAGGAAGCTTCACCGTTAACGGGCGAGCCTACAGCAGAGAGGGCAGCAGTGTTGTAACCATCATTCACCAGCCTCCAACAACAGCATTCTTCAAGCTTTTTTAAGGTCATTTGCAGAAGAACCAGTGACAGAGCAGTTTTTCGAGAACAGTGGGTCCCTCACTCGTCTCTCTACCTTAACATAACATTCTCTGATATTGTGATGAAGTGTATTTGCCACAAAACTTGATAAATTGTGTTACTTTAAGGCTTGTCTCCTACACAATCGTTTCCCATTATGTATTGAAATGAATCAGAGGTTCTTCCACATTTAGCGCCCTGGAAGAGTAATGCATTGAACACTAATGCCATTATATTCAGTGTTTATTTCTGAATGCTTGAGTTAAACGGGGCTTATTTTTAAAAGGCTTCAAATTACAAAAGGCATCAGTCATCTCGGGGGAATGTTGTCTTCACAAAAAGGACACCGACAGCGGGCACTGAGGCAGGGATTATGTTCATCTTTGGCTCAATATTTGCCTCTTTTGGAGCTTTACGTAACACTGCTGAGTCACTTGGAACCGCGTCAAAACTAAGACACACACAGCGCCACAAACTTCCTCCAGGAAACAAAGACCTGAGCCTGGGTCGGCTGGGTCAGAGTGGTTGGATACACGAGGCGTTTCAAACAAAAACATGAAACATTAGTGCCTTCACAGGACTAAAGCAAAGAATAGGAATAATATAATTTATACGATTACGTTTTTGGTGCGGTAACAAAAGATTTTTAAAGAAAAACGTTTAAAATCAAGTGGCAAAGTCAAATTGAATAAATGTATTTTGGTCAAACTTTATCTCTGCCAGAATAGAAAGAATAGAAAGAATAGAAAGTTCAGAATATGCAGAAATCCCCATTTATTTTATAAACCACTTTCAGCTCCATCAAATCATATTTTCAATTACTTTAACTTATTTAACTTAACTTCAAAGCAGAACAGTGTGAATCCAGCTGAAGAATCTGTCGTATAGCCAATTGGAAAACATTAGTTATACTTAAGTTATGGGGCAATCTGGTTTGAATAATGACTAAATGCCCACAGTGGAACGTTCTAGCCGAGGAAATCTGTCCGCCAACAACAGTATGTGAAGTTTTAACACAACTGTATATTCTGCAGAAGTTCTACTGTTCGATGATCCCTGAATGAAAGAGTTGGAACTCGTTGAACCACCAAACTGTCTTTTGGATATGAAACAATTTTGTTTTTTATAAATCTGTACATGCATTTTAAAAACACAATACACAGATTATTTCAATGTACAAGCTCAAAAAGGGAGTTCGAAGTAGTAAAACGTATTTCCTCCCATCTCTTATTCAGTTGCAATTAGTAATATAGATAACATAACACTTATTGCAAGAATGTGAAAACTTGACCTTTCTTAAGTACAGAATAACATTAAACACAAATTCAGTTCATAAATGCCCCCAGTGAACAAACATGAATTAAATCAAAATAATCATTAGTGCCAGCCCTTTTAATCACAGGGCTGTATTTTGTTAAATGTTCTTTAGTGTGTGACAGATGTGGTTTAAACTGTTTGTATTTTGGATTTGTAAGAAGTGTTAGCTGAATGTATTTGTAGAGGTAGCTGCAAATGTATGTATACACTAGTTTGAATATTCTCACTCTTACCACTTTCCCAAACTCTAAAAATAACCTCTTGTTTACTACTCCATCGTAATACGTACCGACACTACTGAGCGAGCTGCTGCTTTCCGAGTCCGAAGGCATTGTGGAGAGCACGCTGTATGTCGAGCCTGCCGGGAGACAAAGACCATCACTTAGAAAGAGGAAGTGCTTTGAAATCCACCACACAAGTAAAACACAGCTCAAATTAACTGCTAATACAACATGGTGACACATGAAAATGAGACCAGTCGGCTTGATAGTCCCTCTCTGGTAATAACACGTTTTACGGCGCCCACATAGCCGTTTCTCATGAGTCCGGACCGCGGCTCTCTGGTGCGCGCCGCCATACTTTGATGTATAGTGTCTGTATGTTTTTGCTACACAGGCAGAATGTCACGGATGGAATAGGATTTTCACTTTATGTGGAGTGTAAGAGACCAGGAGGAGGAGGTGGGAGGGAGGGGGGGGGAAACGATTCTCCATCTGAAGGGCTGTACACACCGTTAAGCTCGTGGGGGAATGCGCACAGGCGTCCGCAATCTGGAAGAGAGATATTGTGGTTGTAGAAGTGCCAGATTTGGAGCGCAGTCGAAACGCGCTCAGCCACGCCAACACAAGGGTTTCACAGGCTTAAGTTGAGAGAGACTACCGCGGTTTCTGACAGCGCTGTGAAGATGTGTGCTAAATGTTTAAGTGTGGAATTGCGTACCGACGTGTGGGGTTATGGGGAAGATTGCATAAAAACAAAGCCAGCTGGAGAAGGAAAAAGGCCAGAGAGCACACTGTTAATATGTAATGTGATGCATGGCTAAAAAGTCACAATGACAACAAATCTATTCACAATGATGTTATATATAGAACTGTATTGAATGAAAAATATGTCTTGCATAAAGCTTGAACTTTTTGTAACAAAGGAAGAATTACAGAACGGTTTAATGAGGTCATATAACTGGTATTATTTCGTTAAGTCTCCAGAGAACTTGAGGGGGTTTAGGTAGCAGAAAAAACTACTATTATATGGATCTCGTAATACTAGCACTTCTTACTACAGAGCGAAAACTCACCTTAAATTGACAAATTAAAGTAAAGTTTCAGTTTTGGTTAATCTCAATTATCAACATGTGAATTTAAAAGAGATGTGTAACATGTGGGGCTGAAGAGGGGAGGCCCTGTCCTCACATACAGTGCCTTGCGAAAGTATTCGGCCCCCTTGAACCTTTCAACATTTCGCCACATTTCAGTCTTCAAACAAAAAGATATAAAAAAAATTTTGTCAATTTTTTGTCATGAATCAACAACAAGTGGGACACAATCGTGAAGTGGAACAAAATGTATTTGATGATTTAAACTTTTTTAACAAACAAAAAACTGAAAAGTGGGACGTGCAATATTATTCGGCCCCTTTACTTTCAGTGCAGCAAACTCAGTCCAGAAGTTCAGCGAGGATCTTTGAATGATCCAATGTTGTCCTAAATGACTGATGATGATAAAAAGAATGCACCTGTGTGTAATCAAGTCTCCGTATAAATGCACCTGCTCTTTGATAGTCTCAGGGTTCTGTCTCAGGGTTCTGTTTAAAGCGCAGAGAGAACCATGAAGACAAAGGAACACACCAGGCAGGTCCGAGATACTGTTGTGGAGAAGTTTAAAGCCGGATTTGGATACAAAAAGATTTGCCAGGCTTTAAACATCTCAAGGAGCACTGTGCAAGCAATTATATTGAAATGGAAGGAATATCAGACCACTGCAAATCTACCAAGACCCGGCCGTCCCTCCAAACTTTCATCTCAAACAAGGAGAAGACTGATCAGAGATGCAGCCAAGAGGCCCATGATCACTCTGGATGAACTGCAGATAACTACAGGTTGAGGTGGGAGAGTCTGTCCATGGGACAACAATCAGTCGTGCACTGCACAAATCTGGCCTTTATGGAAGAGTGGCCATTTCTCAAAGATATCCATAAAAAGTCTCTTAAAGTTTGCCACAAGCCACCTGGAAGACACACCAAACATGTGGAAGAAGGTGCTCTGGTCAGATGAAACCAGAATCGAACTTTTTGGCCACAATGCAAAACGATATGTTTGGCGTAAAAGCAACACAGCCCATCACCCTGAACACACCATCCCCACCTCAGCTGTAGTTATCTGCAGTTCATCCAGAGTGATCATGGGCCTCTTGGCTGTATCTCTGATCAGTCTTCTCCTTGTTTGAGATGAAAGTTTGGAGGGACGGCCGGGTCTTGGTAGATTTGCAGTGGTCTGATACTACTTCCATTTCAATATAATTGCTTGCACAATGCTCCTTGAGATGTTTAAAGCTTGGGAAATCTTTTTGTATCCAAATCCGGCTTTAAACTTCTCCACAACAGTATCTCGGACCTGCCTGGTGTGTTCCTTTGCCTTCATGGTTCTCTCTGCGCTTTAAACAGAACCCTGAGACTTTCAAAGAGCAGGTGCATTTATACGGAGACTTGATTACACACAGGTGCATTCTATTTATCATCATCAGTCATTTAGGACAACATTGGATCATTCAAAGATCCTCACTGAACTTCTGGAGTGAGTTTGCTGCACTGAAAGTAAAGGGGCCGAATAATATTGCACGCCCCACTTCAGTTTTTTATTTGTTAAAAAAGTTTAAATTATCCAATAAATTTCATTCCACTTCACGATTGTGTCCCACTTGTTGATTCATGACAAAAAATTAAAATTTTATATCTTTATGTTTGAAGCCTGAAATATGGCGAAATGTTGAAAGGTTCAAGGGGGCCGAATACTTTTTCAAGGCACTGTATGGTTATAAAGCTATGATTACACAAGTTGACAGCCAAAAAATGGTCAGGGGTTTCTCAACCGATTTAGACTAATTTTGGTGTTCTGAGTCAGAATATCACATGCATTTTGCTCTATCAGGTCAACTTTTTGAGATACAGCCATAGTGTTACGGATCATGTACGTATGCGTTATTATGAATTCTGCTTATCAAATTTGATGGAGTAAATAAAAACTGAATGACCGCAGAAATTTGTTTACGCAAAATCGATTTTTATAAAAATATTTCTGTAGCAAAAATTCCTGACCTGATTGAGCAAAACCAAGGTCATTTTCGGACTCAGAGGACCACAATTAGTCTATTTCAGCTGGAAAACCCTGGACCATTTTCAAAAAATATTTTTTTGTTACCCAGTGTTATATAAGTGAAGAATTGAATAGAAGATTTTGAATACATTTTGATCAGTACGAGTACACGTCTCCATTCGCTACTTGCACATTACTCAGTAGGTTCATCCCCTGTATGCAGTAAAGTTGACAGGCTGTGTTAAATCTACAGGAGGAATAGAAGTGTGAGAATCCAAATGTGAAGCCTGAGGACACTGAAGGTCAACTTGAAACGTAAAGAACACTTTAAACCAGCGCCTCAGTGTTGTTGATGCACTAAAACTGTAGTAATGTGTGTCACCTGCTGGACATTTGCAGAACTGCATAATAATGAAATGATACAGGATGTGAGGAATAGACTTTGTTTCCCCAAATGACTTTTCAAAATCAACAAATAAAGGTACAGAACGGTTTAAGCTTTGGTTTTGTCAAATCTAAATATTAGAAAAAAGCTAGGCTTTTTGATGGTTTTTGATTGTGTGCATTAGATTGATGCCATGTGCGACCTCCCACAAAGCCTTCTGGTGGGGGCCAACGAGTTGTAGCATATGAAGGATTGAAAAAGATTTATGGAAACTTCTAAATTACTGTCGAGTTTTGCATATTGTCCAGTCACTGCTGACTGCAGAGTGAACTTTGTTAACTTGAGCACCTAAAATCTAACGGCACAAAAGGTCCAAATCCAAACACCAAACCAGCGTTTCCAATGAAGCAAGAGAAAAAGTGATTCTAAAACGGCCAATTTGTCAGATTACACGCGCTAATGGCACAAAGACAAAAAGACAATTTATTTCCCATCATCATTACTCCAGTTCATGGTGTGTGACAACTGTAATCCACTTCAATCTCATTCTGCAAAGGCATAATGAATGGAAAAACTGAGTATAATTGTATTAAATGACAAAAGATTCTACACATGACCTCTAAAAGATTGGAGTCGGCTCATATTCGGGCTGCAGCAGCTCCCGCAAATCCAATAGCTGTAAAACTGCATCGGAGTCAGTTTTTGCACCCTTCTGAGAGTGATTCATTCATAATTCAGAATCTATACTGACAAGCACATATCGACTCAACGAACATGATGAACAAAAGGCAAAGTATGCAGAACAGAAGCCTTTAGTGACAAGTTCATCTTCAAACTGTCACAGCAAAAATAGTTGTACACATTCAAAGGATTTTTCTAGAGCACGGTAATAGTTTTTAATAAACTTATATCAATACGTTTATAAGTTTCATAAGTTAGATAAGATAACAGAACCTTTATGGTCCCACAGTGGGAAAACGACATTGTTGCTGCGAACGTACAGGACAGTATTAAGAGTACACAAAATATACAAAACAAGTAGCTGCTTTATTTCTCAGCTCGCTGTAAATGCTTCAATATCAATATATTGATATATAGCGATTATTCTATCTATATATAATGTAAAGCTATGGGTGAGATATAAAAAGTCCAATAATCTGGTTTTGTGATACCGTGTGAAGCAAATGCGTCACATTGAAAACATTTCAAATGGTGAGAGCCAAGGCCAAATATACATAAACCATCAAGATACTGTCGACCTTAACCTGCCTGGGTCAAAACACAACTGAATTGTGTTTCAAAGCAAATCATTTTAATCCAGGGCAAAGGGAACTTAAACAAAAGAGGGAATGAGTTGAGATCTTGCTGTGGGAATGCATCTCCAGTGCCTGGTCACAGCAGAATGATGCAGCTGGATGCCAAGTGCCCCGGATCTCCCATCTCTGTGGCTGCTTCCCCACTGGGTTCGAGATCCAGTCGTGGCTCCAGCGATATTGGATGGTGACATGGCCAAGCCTAATTAACTCTGAGCTTCTGTGTGAGTGAGCCTCTCCATCTTTTACCCGCAGACAGAGGAGGGAGCAGGCAGCAGGGAGCCGTGGGGAAGGGGAGCACCAGGGGAATGCATGAAGCTGTGTAAGGACATCACCAGGGGTAGCAGGGTTGT